CTAAGCACAAAAAAAAAAAAAAAAAAAAAAAACCTGAATGAATTGATGTCATTCAGGTAAATGCTTGCTTATAGCAAAGTAATTCTTTGCTATAAGCAAATTGTGTAAAAAAAAAAAAAAAACACAAGATACTGATCACTTCCCCAAAGTAGTACAATGTTACTATGGTAACATTGTACTACTTTGGTCATAGTGAAATATGAAAAAAAAAAATCTTAAAGAAAGAAAAAAAATGTAATATAAAATAAAATATAAATTTTTTTTTTTCATACTGTCACCAGTCAGTGTCCCTGATCATGCCAGTTATATGATGACACTGTACTGCACTGGTGACAGTATGTAAAAACAAATAGTGAAACTAATTTTTTAATTTTCCGAAAAATTATGACAAAAAAAAATACAACTTCAAAAAAAAAACTCGCCATGCCTCTTATGAAGTACGTCGGACTGTCTACTCTGCAAAAAAGGGTCATTTGGGGGATATCTATACCGTCCTGACATTTGGGGGATATCTGTACTGTCCTGACATTTGGGGGATATCTGTACCATCCTGACATTTGGGGGATATCTGTACTGTCCTGACATTTGGGGGATATCTGTACCGTCCTGACATTTGGGGGATATCTGTACCGTCCTGACATTTGGGGGATATCTGTACTGTGTTCTGACATTCTTGGACCTCAAGAAATTAGATTGGCCGTCAGTACTTCAGGATTGATCAATATATTCAGATCTATCTCATAGTTTGTGAACTCTATAACTTTCCTACAAACTAAATATTACATCCTAATTTGGATTATTTTCACCAAAGACATGTAGCAGAATACATTTCGGCCTAAATTTATGAAGAACAATTATTTATTTGCAAACTTTTATAACAGAAACAAAGAAAAACGTGGGTTTTTTTTTTCAAACTTTTTGGTCTTTTTTTGTTAAATTTAGCAAAATATAAAAACACCGGCGGTGATTAAATACCACCAAAAGAAAGCTCTAGTTGTGTGAAGAAAATGATAACATTTTAGTTTGGGTACAATGTTGTATGACCGCGCAATTGTCATTCAAAGTGTGAGAGCGCTGAAAACTGAAAACTGGCCTGGGCAGGAAGGGGTAAAATTGCCCGGTATTGAAATGGTTAACTTTCATGACTGCCGTGGCTGTGAAGGATGAGCGTACAACGCACTGACCAGATAGCACAAATGATTGTGCGTTGGAGTATATAAGACCTACTCCTAGGTGCTCTGGGGATAGGAACTCTGCATACGGATGAAGTCGTCAGGTGGGGGTGCGTCACCCGGTGTCATCCATCCAGGGCAGGTTACCACTCTCCACCAGTGTGTGAACACATCAGGTTAACTGCATCCAGCAGTACGGATTTCAGCCATTGGGGGGGGATCAGGGGTGGACTGACAACTCATGGGGCCCCCAGGCAATAGGGGATCATGGGGCCCCTGTGTCCTTGCCCAAACTCAAAAAAGCCTATGAAAAAAGGTACCAGGGGCATCTCATGGGGCCCCCTACTGACCCCGGGCCCTCGGGCAGTGCCCGAGTTTCCAAATGGTCAGTCCGCCCCTGGGGGGGGATCATACATTCAAGTGTGAATCCAATTTGAAAAGAACCTTCGGGGGAAGGGGGCTCAAAGTGGCAAAAAATGAGCCCAGAAGAGAGAAAGCTCCAATAGTGTAGTATGTTTAATGGTCAAAGTGGAGTAACATCAAAATTCAGATAAAAAAGGATAAACACATCAGAGATAAAACAATAGGTCATGCAGTCAATGATCCATGATTTAGGGTACCTCCCTACATAGTTACATAGTTAGTCTGGCTGAAAAAAGACAAAAGTCCATCCAGTTCAACCACAGAAAAAAAAAAGTTATAATCCTACACCCACAGTTGATCCAGAGGAAGGCAAAAAAAAAAGCCAGCAAAGCACAATCCAATCTGCTCCTGCAGGGAAAAAATTCCTTCCTGATCCCCCGAGAGGCAATCGGATATTCCCTGGATCAACTTTACCTATACATGTTATATCCAGTTATATTCTGTGTATCCAAGAAAGAATCCAGGACTTTCCTACAGCAATCCAGTGAGCTGGCCACAACCAACTCTTGAGGGAGTCTATTCCACATTCTCACAGCTCTCACTGTGAAGAAACCTTTCCATGTTTGGAGATTACATTTCTTTTCCTCCAGATGTAAAGAGTGCCCCCTTGTCCTCTGTGATGACCTCAGGGGGAATGACTACACCGAGTTCACTATATGAAATTGACATCCTTTTTTCCCCACAAATTGAGCTTTCTTTTGGTGGTATTTGATTGCCTGTGCATTTTTTCTTTTTTGCGCTATAAAAAAAGACCGAAAATTTTGAGAAAAAAACTTTTGCTATTAAACATGTGCAGTTAAAAAATTTAATTTTGTCATAAATTTAGGTCAAAATGTATTCTGCTAAAAAAAAAAAAATCCCAATCCATGTAAATTAATTGGTTTACATGAAGGTTATATCATATACAAATGGCGGTATAGATAATGGGATTTTTTATTTTTTTTTATACTAGTAATGGCGGCGATCAGTGACTTATACCGGGACTACGACGGGCATTTTGACACTGGGGGGGACTGACTTGGTGCCACTGATATCCCCAGTGACACCAATACAGTGATCGGTGCTAATAAAAAGCACTGACACTGTACTAATGGCACTGGGCAGGAAGGGGTTAACATCTGGGGCGATCAAAGGGTTAACTGTGTGCTGTGTGTTTTACTATGTAAGCATGCTGTGCAGAGAGACACAAAGCAGCATGTCCTTGCTGGCAGGAGAGAGACCTGTGCTGTGTACACACAGGTCTCTCCCCTGTCAGCTTTCTCCAACGATCGCTGGGTGCCGGTGGGGAATCGTCGGCCGAGACCCGGTGATTGACATTCCTAGCCACCAATGGCGATGAGCCCCCTACCCGGAAATGCAAATAACGTGTGTGTATATATAGATAGATATATGTGTGTGTGATTTTGCACATCCCTGCCACCCTGTAGCAGTACTCCTGCAATAGGGTGGCGGGCATGTGGATTAAACTTGCCATGCCATTTGCCAAGCGATGCGAGTTTCAAATCGCATGGCAAGTCGCACCCTATTGTCCGCAATCACAGTGGTCATATCGGTGCGATTCCAACTTGGTCGGAGTCGCACCGAGTTTGAAAGTAACACATGCACTACTTCAGGTGCGACTTGCATAGACTTCTGTTTTTTGCAAGCCGCAGATGTCTTGTAAGTCGCAGCTTGAGTCAGAATGGCATCCAATTTTGAAATCGTGCGACTTCACTGGTGTGACCAGGTCAGCACTGCAAGGAGAGGAAGGAAAGTTGCAGAGTTTTCAAATCCTCAGAACGGTGAAGCGTATCTTCGGTGTCTGACAGCGGCGGATCAGCAATCTGGTACAGTGGGATCGGGGGGGGGGGGGGGGGAACTGGGGGGAGAGAGAGATGCTGGGGGGAGAGAGAGATGCTGGAGGTTGGGGGAGAGAGAGAGAGACGCTGGAGGTTGGGGGAGAGAGAGAGACGCTGGAGGTTGGGGGAAAAAGAGAGAGACACTGGAGGCTGGGGATGAAACAAACGGAGGCTGGAGGGGAGAGAGATGCTAGAGGCTGGGAGGAGAGCGACACTGGAGGCTGGGAGGAGAAAGATGCTGGGGGGGAGAGAGAGATGCTGAAAGCTGGGGGGGGAGAGACACTGGACGCTGGGGGGAAGAGAGACGATGGGGGGAGTGAGAGACGCTGGAGGCTGGGGGGGGAAGCGGAGAGACGCTGGAGCCTGGGGGAAGCTGGACGCTGGGGGGAGTGAGAGAGGCTAGAGGCTGGGGGAAGCGAGAGGCTGGAGGTTGGGGGAGAGAGAGGCTGGAGGCTGGGGGAAGCGAGAGACGCTGGAGGCTGGGGGAAGCGAGAGAGGCTGGGGGAAGCGAGAGACGCTGGAGGCTGGGGGAAGCGAGAGAGGCTGGGGGGGAGTGAGAGACGCTGGAGGCTGCGGGGAAGCTAGAGAGGCTGGAGGCTGGGGAGAGAGAGACGCTGTTGGCTGGGGGGAAGAGAGATGCTGGAGGCTGGGGGAGATGTGCTGGAGGCTGGGGGGAAGAGAAACGCTGGAGGCTGGGGGAAGAGAGATGCTAGAGGCTGGGGGAGAGATGCTGAAGGCAGGGGGAGATATGCTGGAGGCTGGGGGGAAGAGAGATGCTAGAGGCTGGGGGGGAGTGAGATGCTGAAGGCTGGGGGAGATATGCTGGGGGCTGGGGGAAGAGAGATGCTGGAAAGCTGGGGGGAGAGGTGCTGGAGGCAGGAGGGAGAGAGAGGTAGGAGGCGGGGGGAGAGAGAGGCTGGGGAGAGCGAACTCACTCAGAAGTGGGAGCGGCTACCTGTCAAAACCAGCTAGCCTCTCCAATGGAGCTCCACTCTGCAGCCGCTGATGAGGAATAAAGGGTGAAGTGGAGGTCACATGGTTCCTATAGAGTGGAGCTCCACGTTTGCAGCCGCTGCTTGTTTATTACATTAAAGTTTACTACAAAAAAGGGGAGTGGAGGTCACGTGCTTCCTGTAGAGTGGAGGTCACGTGCTTCCTGTAGAGTGGAGGACACACGCTTCCTGGTATAATGGAGCTCCATTCTGCGGCCATACTCTATTACTTTTAGCCAGACCCCTCTCCGCCTAGCTGGGTCACATGACGGAAGTGGGTGTGTGCGGACGCCGCGTTCTGTACATGTCCCATGACAAGAAAGGGGTGTGTCCGCTCGGCGCTCTCAGCCTGGGAGGTCATGTGATAGAAAGGGGTGTGTACAGGCGCTCCCTGTTGTAGAAGTCACCTGACAGGGCGAGAGGGGGGGTGTGCCCGCTCGGCGCTCTTCTCCTGGCCCGGTCACGTGACGCGAGGAGGGCGGCGGAAGCCGGAAGCGGTCGGGGTTCTGTCAGGAGAAGGCGGAGGGAGGGCTCCCGGTGATGAGGTAACCGGCTGTACCCGGGCACCGGACACCATGAACCTGCTGCCCTCCAACCCGCACGGCAATGGCCTGCTGTACGCCGGCTTCAACCAGGACCACGGTGAGTGACACCGGAGAGGACCTACCGCACCCTCCGAGGGATGATTCACCTCACACCGGGGGAGGGGACCGAACCATGACAGGGAGCCGGGCTGTGACGGGGGGAGGGGGGTCAGTGGATGATGGTGTGGTGGGGGTCACATGTTATGGGGTGTAATAATTGGGTGTTTCTTGGGGTCAGCTATCCTTGTTTTGGGGTTTGAGGGTGTACTGGGGGGTTGCTTTATTTTCGGGGGGCTAATGTAGGGTGTAATAAGTTGAGGGGTCAGATAGGGTGGATTGGCTTTTTTGCGGTGCAATAATTATAGAGGGTCATATGGGGTGTGAGGGGGAGGGGTTAATAATTTGAGGTCAAAAAGGAGGCGGGCAATCTATTTTTTTTTTTTTTTTTTTGGGGTGTTGGAATTGTAGGTATTTGGGGGGGGGGGGGGGGTTTCAACTCTATGCTGGTGTTATACTTTGGGGTGTTTTATGGCGTCGGGTATTTTTTTGGGGGGTGTCATGGGGATATGTTTGGGGTGCTGTATTTTTTGGAGAGGGGGGTTTAATGTACGGTGTAATAATTTTGGGGGGTATTGGGTGAATTGTCTTTGGGGTGCAGTAATTATGCGGGAGGGCGAGGGGTTAATAATTTGGGGTCATAAAGGGGGCGGGCAGTCTTTTCTTTGGGGAATTGTGTAGTTTGTGTTCCAATGGTATGCAGTGTTTTTGGAGTGTTTTATGGAATCAGATATATTTCTTTTGGGGTGCTGTATTTTTGGGAGGGGGGTACGGTTTAATTAATCTGGGGGGGTCATATAGGGTCGATTGGCTTTTTTCTTTGGGGTGCAATAATTATAGAGGGTCATACTGGGGGGAGGGGTTAATAATTTGGGGTCATAAAAAGGGGCGGGCAAGTTCTGTTTCTGCTTTGGAGTGTTGGAATTGTAGGGTATATGTTTTTTTTTGGGGGGGGGATATTTCAACGCTATGCGGTGTTATCCTTTGGGGTATTTTATGTCAGGTATCTTGGGGAGGGGTTAATTTTGGGGTGTCATAAAAAGGGCGGGATGTTTGGGGTGCTGTATGTTTTTTTTTTGAGGGGGGGTTTAGCTGTAGCGGTGTAATCAATCTTTCTTTTTGGGGTGGGGGGGGGGTCATTTTTTGGGTGAGTTGTCTTTGGGGGGGGGGGGCACCAATTCTTTGGGGGCACCAATTATGCGGGAGGGTGAGGGATTAATAATTTGGGGTCATAAAGGGGGTGGGCAGTCTTTTCTTTGGGGTGTAGTTTGTGTTCTGCTTTGTTTTATGGCATCAGATATCTTTATTTTGGGGTGTCTTGGGGGTATGTTTGGGGTGTGGTATGTTTTGGGAGGGGGGGTTAATGTGGGGAGGAGGTCATATAGGGTGGATTGGCTCTGGTGCAGAATTTATAGAGGGTCATATGGGGTGGGAGGGTGAGGGGTTAATAATTTGGGGTCATAAAGGGGCGGACAATCTTTTGTTTGGGGTGTAGGAATTGTAAGGTGTAGTGTTTTTTTTTTTTTTTTTTTTGGGGGGGAGGGGAGATATCCAATGGTATGGGATATTCTTACACAGGGTGTTATACTTTGGGGTGTTTTATTGCGTCAGGTAATCATCTTTCGGGGAATAATGGGGGTGATGTATTTGGGGGGTTAATGTAGGGTGTAATAATTTGGGGGGTGATATTGGGCAGATTCTTTCTTTGGGGGGCAGTAATTATAGAGGGTCATATGGGGTGGGGGGGTGAGGGGTTAATCATTTGGTGTCATAAAGGGGGTGAGCAGTCTTCTCTTTGGGGGTTTGTGTTATATTTTGGGGTGTTTTATGGCATCAGATATCTATCTTTTGAGGAGCTGTATTTTTGTTTGGGGGGGGGGGGGGGGGGTGGTAATGTAGGGTGTAATAATTTAGGGGGTCATAAATGGTGGATTATCTTTCTATGGGGTGCACTGATTATAAGGGGGGGGGGGGTTCATACGGGATGGGATAGTCTTCATTGAGGTTTAATTTATGGGGTGATATATGGTGGATTATCTTTTTTTGGGGTGCAATGACTATGGGGGGGTCATATGGGATGAGAGAGTCTTCATTGAGGCTTAATAATTTTGGGGGGATGGTACGGGGTATAATAATGTGGGATGTATTTTGGGGGGTTAAAGTGGTACTTGCTGCATCGAAGTACCAAAAACACGTCTTCATGCTTTATTTGGCTTAGAAATCACTTCGAAAAACTCCCCCCCCATTTCTGGCTGCAGCCATCTTGCTTAAGGGCAGATGATTCATGTAGCATTAGCTTCCTCGATTCCATCTGCCCATAGCTCAGGCATACAAGCAGGATGGTGTTCTTAGCTGAGAAAACATTCCTCCTCCCCTCCTGAAGAGTCCTGAGATGTATGACATCATTGGCCTAGGCCAGAAACCAGGAAGTAACTGAAGAAATGTAAAAAAATTAATAAAACAAGTAAATACGATTTCCTTCCTATCTATATACTGATGATCGGAGTATAAGGATTGAAAATAGCCAATGTTGACTGAGAGCGTGACGTCCCGCTTTAATAAACGTAGGGTGTAATAATGTGGGGGGGGGAGTAGGATATCTTTCTTATAGGGTGAGGCAGGGCTCGACCAATCCCAGGCGCCAGGTCGCAATGGCGACTAGAAATTGCGTGTTGGCGCCAGGGTTTCACACACACTGCCTCCCATAGACTTCTGTGGGAAGTCGTGCCCCATAAGCTCCTGTTGGAGGTCGCGGCCCCGTAGGCTTCTGTGGGATGGTGGCGCCCCCGGAGGGTTCTGTGGGAGGTGGCGCCCCCCCGTAGGCTTCTGTGAGAGGTGGCGCCCCCCCCCGTAGGCTTCTGTGGGAGGTGGCGCCCCCCCCGTAGGCTTCTGTGGGAGGTGGCGCCCCCCCGTAGGCTTCTGTGGGAGGTGGCGCCCCCCCGTAGGCTTCTGTGAGAGGTGGCGCCCCCCCGTAGGCTTTAGGCTTCTGTGAGAGGTGGCGCCCCCCCGTAGGCTTCTGTGGGAGGTGGCGCCCCCCCGTAGGCTTCTGTGGGAGGTGGCGCCCCCCCCGTAGGCTTCTGTGGGAGGTGGCGCCCCCCCGTAGGCTTCTGTGGGAGGTGGCGCCCCCCCGTAGGCTTCTGTGGGAGGTGGCGCCCCCCCGTAGGCTTCTGTGGGAGGTGGCGCCCCCCCGTAGGCTTCTGTGGGAGGTGGCGCCCCCCCGTAGGCTTCTGTGGGAGGTGGCGCCCCCCCGTAGGCTTCTGTGGGAGGTGGCGCCCCCCCCGTAGGCTTCTGTGGGAGGTGGCGCCCCCCCGTAGGCTTCTGTGGGAGGTGGCGCCCCCCCCGTAGGCTTCTGTGGGAGGTGGCGCCCCCCCGTAGGCTTCTGTGGGAGGTGGCCCCCCCCGTAGGCTTCTGTGGGAGGTGGGCCCCCCCCGTAGGCTTCTGTGGGAGGTGGCTCCCCCCCCCCCCCCCGTAGGCCTCTGTGGGAGGTGGCTCCCCCCCCGTGGCCTCTGTGGGAGGTGGCTCCCCCCCCCCGTAGGCCTCTGTGGGAGGTGGCTCCCCCCCCCGTAGGCCTCTGTGGGAGGTGGCTCCCCCCCCGTAGGCCTCTGTGGGAGGTGGCTCCCCCCCGTAGGCCTCTGTGGGAGGTGGCTCCCCCCCCCGTAGGCCTCTGTGGGAGGTGGCTCCCCCCCCCCTCCCCCCCCCCCCGTAGGCCTCTGTGGGAGGTGGCTCCCCCCCCCCCCGTAGGCCTCTGTGGGAGGTGGCTCCCCCCCCCCCGTAGGCCTCTGTGGGAGGTGGCTCCCCCCCCCCGTAGGCCTCTGTGGGAGGTGGCTCCCCCCCCCGTAGGCCTCTGCGGGAGGTGGCTCCCCCCCCCCCCCCCGTAGGCCTCCTAGGCTGCGGGAGGTGGCCCACCCCCCCTCCCCCCCCCCCCCGTAGGCCTCTGCGGGAGGTGGCTCTCCCCCCCCCCCCTCCCCCCCCCCCCGTAGGCTTCTGCGGGAGGTGGCTCCCCCCCCCCGTAGGCTTCTGCGGGAGGTGGCTCCCCCCCCCCGTAGGCTTCTGTGGGCTTTCGCGCCCCCCTCGTAGGCTTCGTGTGATAAGCACAGGGTCAATCAGTCTGTTCAGAGGGTCAGGAGTCGTGCAGCCTATTGGGTGTACAGACACGATCTCGCAGTACTCGGTCATGTGATCTGAGGAGCTGTCGGTCAAAGCAAGCGAAGACTTTGCTGATGTCAGAACGCACATTGCAAAGCTGCTGGGAGTCACATGACCTGACATGGCGACCTTCCATCCCAGGAGGATGTGCGTACCGCTGGCGGGTAAGAGCTCTCCTTGTCAGCTCCAGGGGTGCAACTGACCGGGTCTCAGGCTTTATAAGAGAGAAGGGGTGTAATCAGGAATCAGTACGGGGTGTCACTGTGAATCTCCGGCTGAAGGGAGCAATGACCTCTGGGAAATGGCCATTGTGGCTTGGCAGGTCTGCTGATGCTGGCAGAGCTCTCAGTTGGAAGAGATTTGCATGGATTTCCCTGCAGAGACGATTTACATCCATGGCCTCCTATATCTGCTTGTGTGTACTGTGATCTGAAGGGAGGATTCTGTCCTTCACACCCATCAAGGGCCCAGTCACATTTGCATTCACTTTTTTTTGCCCATTCAGGGCAAAGTGACAGGTCCTCTTCAAAGCCCCTTTTGTCACCCAGTTGCAGTCACCTCCACAAGGGAGGGCGTTGCTTTCCTAGATATGGTAGATTATAATTGTCTGTAAACGTTGGTGTAACCCTGAGCTGTGCTCCCCGCGGAGGGTTAATGGCTGGCAACACACACAACTTTATTGGTCGTGATGTTTGATCTGAGGCGGGGCATACTGTCAGGAAGTGAATGGGTTGGGTATCCGATGTCATTAAAGGTCTAGAAAACCATCCTTGCCTCCATCTCTCCTCCGCCTAGTAACATAAATCCTGCACTGCTGGGTGTGCTGGGAGCTGTAGTCCCACCAGGTTTAGCATTGTCCTGATTCCCGGTGACCTCACTTCCTGCACACCAGCTGTGGGCATTATTGTATACACGGGGCAGCACAGCGGCTAAATGGTTAGCACTTCCGCCTGGCAGTCCTCGGGTCGTTGGTTCGCATCACACTCAACCACACCCAAAAAAGCCTATGAAAGGCACCAGGGGCATCTCATGGGGCACCCTACTGACCCCGGGCCCTCAGGCAGTGCCCGAGTTTCCAAATGGTCCGTCTGCCCATGTTCGCAAGTTTACTTGTGTTGCATTAGGACCAGGGGCGGACTGACAACTCATGGGGCCCCCGGGCAATAGGGGATCATGGGGCCCCTGTGTCCTTGCCCTAACTCAAAAAAAGCCTATGAAAGGTACCAGGAGCATCTCATGGGGCCCCCTACTGACCCCGGGCCTTCGGCAGTGCCCAATTTTCCAAATGGTCAGTCCTCCCCTGGTTCACATCCCAGCCATGGCACCTCATGCCTGACGTTTGCATGTTCTCCCTGTGCCTGCATGGGTTTCCTCCGGGTACTCCGGTTTCCTCCCACACTCCAAAGACATGCTGGTAGGTGAATTGGCTCCTGTCTAAATTGTCCCTAGTGTGTGTATGTATGAATGTAAGTTAGGGACCTTAGATTGTACGCCCCTTGAGGGTCCGGGACCTTAGATTGTACGCCCCTTGAGGGTCCGGGACCTTAGATTGTACGCCCCTTGAGGGTCCGGGACCTTAGATTGTACGCCCCTTGAGGGTCGGGGACCTTAGATTGTACGCCCCTTGGTCGGGGGTACGCCCCTTGAGGGGACCTTAGATTGTACGCCCCTTGAGGGTCAGGGACTGATGTGAATATATATGTAAATTGACGGTGATATATAAGTATCTGAAATAAACTTTCAGGGATGTATATGTTATGCAGGCCATAGACGGGTTGTTTATTGGCCGAATTTTTTGTCCGCATGAAAAATCGTCCGATATTCACGCCGTTAGTGGGACCAGCCCGTCGGCCGTTTTTTGTGGATCTTCTTGTTTATTTTTATCGGTCCTGCTGGAAAATCCATGAAACCGGCTGTTTTTCGTGGACATTGGTGGCAGCATCGGCAACGGGGCCGACCGATTTTTCATTTATCGGCCGACAATTCGCCCGACAAACGGCCCGTCTATGGCCTGCCTTAGTTGTAGTTTTGCTGAAGGCTGTGAATACCTCCATGTGATCTGTTTTGGGCAACACCCACCTTGCTGACAGGCCCCTCCCACAGTGATGTCACTTAGGATTCCTGACTCCTTTGTATTAAGTAAGATCTCCAATAGCCGTGAGTAAGGCTACGTTCACACTAGCCTTGTTTTCAAGCGGCAGAAAAGCGTTTGGGAAGCGTTTTTACCACTTCCCAAACGCCTCGGACAATTCTGCCCATTGCAGCACATGGTGCTGTTCTAACGGGAGCGGTGGCATCGTGGCGCGGCAAAACAGACGCCTCTGGTCGAGTCAGGAGGCGTTGCAAGCCTCCTATTCTAGTCTATGGTGCCGCTCCGCAAACGCCCGGCCGGCGTTTGCGGTGCGGTGTTGCGACGTGGTTGCAGGGCGTTTTCGGAGCGGTAACACCTTCCAAACTTCATTATAGGCGTTTGTGGGGCGTTTTTAACGCTCGGCAAACGCCTAGCAACCGCCGCTGAACCGCACATGCGGCGTTTGCCAAGCGTTAAAAAACGCTCCGCAAACGCCGGACCAACGCTTGCCAAACGCTATAGGGGTGTTTGGCAAGAGTTGGTAAAACAGTCAAGTGTGAACGAGGCCTTAGTGATGGGTGCAAATACAGTGATTGTACAGAGTAATAATGAAAGGGGGGGGGGGGGAGAGAATGGGTTTGAGCAATTTGGGTGTTGTAAGGTAACACAGACAGTTCTCATTTCTGACGCCGCTCATGCATTTTCTTAGAGTCGATGTAAAATAATCTGATCCTAGGCTGAGCAAACCTTTTGGCGCTATATAAATACTGTATAATAATAATATATCTGTGTGTTCTCCCCCCCCCCCCTCCCCACAGGGTGCTTTGCATGCGGGATGGAGAATGGATTCCGGGTTTTATAACACCGATCCGCTGAAGGAAAAGGAGAAACAAGGTAAAGCTTCACCTGTCGCTGAGTGAGAAGAACGTTTATATGGGTGTCAGCTTCCATCAATCAGTCACACGTCTTCAGCAGATGTACATCCTTACTGGGCATTTAGTTTGCTGTGTGCTGAGTATCATAAACAATTGTCAGAGGGGATTCTTTACATTTGTGTCAGGGGGAGGAATAGTGCCCCAAAGGCCAGAAGGTGAACTTGTCCTTTAATACCCCCCAGTCTTAGTCCATAGGGCTCAATATTGAGTTGGCCCCGCCCTTTGCAGCCATAACAGCTTCAACTCTTCTGGGAAGGCCGTCCACAAGGTTTAGGAGGGTGTCTATGGGAAGGTTGGACCATTCTTCCAGAAGCACATTTGTCAGGTCAGGCACTGATGTTGGGGGAGGAGGCCTGGCTCGCAGTCTCCGCTCTAATTCATCCCAAAGGTGTTCTATGGGGTTGAGGTCAGGACTCTGTGCAGGACAGTCAAGTTCCTCCACCCCAAACTGGCGCCTCCATGTCTTTATGGACCTTGCTTTGTGCTCTGGTGAGCAGTCATGTTGGAACAGGAAGGGGCCATCCCCAAACTCTTCCCACAAAGTTGGGAGCATGAAATTGTCCAAAATGTCTTGGTATGCTGATGCCTTAAGAGTTCCCTTCACTGGAACTAGGGGGCCAAGCCCAACTCCTGAAAAAACAACCCCACACCATAACCCCCCCCCCCCCTCCACCAAACTTTACACTTGACACAATGCAGTCAGGCAAGTAACGTTCTCCTGGCAACCGCCAAACCCAGAAACGTCCATCGGATTGCCAGATAGAAAAGCGTGATTGGTCACTCCAGAGAACCCGTCTCCACTGCTCTAGAGTCCAGTGGCGGCGTGCTTTACACCACGGCATCCGACGCTTTGCATTGCACTTGGTGATGTAAGGCTTAGTGCAGCTGCTCGGCCATGGAAACCCATTCCATGAAGCTCTCTATGCACTGTTGTTGTGCTCATCTGAAGGCCACACCAAGTTTGGAGGTCTTTAGCTATTGACTCTGCAGACAGTTGGCGACTTCTGCGCACTGTGCGCTTCAGCATGCGCTGACCCCGCTCTGTCATGTGACGTGGCCTACCACTTGGTGGCTGAGTTGCTGTTGTTCCCAGTTGCTTCCACTTTGTTATAATCCCACTAACAGTTGAGCGTGGAATATTTAGTAGCCAGGAAATGTCACGGATGGACTTATTGCACAGGTGACCACCTATCACGGGACCACGCTTGGAGTCACTGAGCTCCTGAGAGCGACCCATTCTTTCACCAATGTTTGTAGAAGCCGTCTGCATGCCTAGGGGATGATTGTATACGTGCATAAAAGTGGCCACCCGCCCAAGTCTATAACTGGCTTATGAAGCAAGGACACATAAACAGGCATCACATAGTGAAAAAAAGGGGGGAGAGAACAATGTTCTTGGACAACTTGCCAGCCAGCTTGCTAACAACCGAATTAACCTGTCTAACAGTATGCGTTTATAACAGGGGTTTAGTTAGCACACATTTGCAAATACATACGTAAGCCACAGAGCCACGACACGGCACCCTGATCATCTGTGGTCCTAACTCTAAAATTTGTGAGTCCCCATAGTAGAGGCACATGCATTTAATGGATAGATCAAGGGCAGGTGGACCTGAGGGAGCCACCCCTCTTAAAGGCAAAGGAGTGCACTGGACCCCAGCATGTAGCACAATGGCAACCAGGGCCCTAGTGCACCCACGTACCAAAAAACTCAAACATGCATAAAAGTGGCCACCCGCCCAAGTCTATGATTGTATACACCTGATGATTGTATACACCTGTGTCCATGGAGGGGATTGGAACACCGGAATCACATGATTTGCAGGGGATTGGAACACCTGAATCACACGATTTGCAGGGGATTGGAACACCTGAATCACACGATTTGCAGGGGATTGGAACACACCTGAATCACACGATTTGCAGGGGATTGGAACACCTGAATCACACGATTTGCAGGGGATTGGAACACCTGAATCACACGATTTGCAGGGGATTGGAACACCTGAATCACACGATTTGCAGGGGATTGGAACACCTGAATCACACGATTTGCAGGGGATTGGAACACCTGAATCACACGATTTGGAGGGCGGGGCCAATACTTTTGTCAATATAGTGTATATTGTCGACTGCTGTCAGATGGTATATGGATTAACGGTCCCTCTGCCAGGGACGTCATATAGAGGAATGGTAATCTATTGATTACTGACAGGAAGAGGTTAAAGGATAAGTTGGCCTTTTTGCCCCTCTGGCCTCACCTAACCCACCCTCCCCCTCTACAGATGCAATCTTACCCCAATGAAATGGCAGCACCCCCTGGCGTTCACATCCAGCTCTACAAGTATCGCCCTCCTGGCTGCTGTTTCGCATTACAGCACCATAGACTTCCATAGGACCGGGAGAGCAAGGAAGTCGGCCCTATAGAAGTCTAAGGGGCTGTAATGCGCAGGGGCAGCAGGAAGGGTGGGATGGTTTAGGTCAAGGGGGGGGGGGGGGGGGGGTAAAAAATGAGTAAAAAAATCAGTGCACTTTGTATTGTGGTGTGTTAATCATTTAAGCAAGCCTGCTGCAGATCTTTACTATACAAATTTGCAGATCTTGTCATCAGAAGGTGGAAGCTCGGCAGCCCCCCCGCCCTCGTCTACGTTTCAGCCTGTTTATTGATTCCTCTGCTTTTATTCACGTCTTCTGAGCGCAAATTGTGGGCAAAGGTCATTGTGACGACTCGTAAATCTATTTTATGGCCTTGCATTTGTTTTTATTTTTTTCCTGCAGAGTTTCTAGAAGGTGGAATTGGCTACGTGGAAATGTTATTCCGATGCAACTATCTCGCTCTGGTCGGGGGAGGGAAGAAGCCGAAATACCCGCCCAACAAAGGTGACACCCCTTTACAGCGTTCTTGTTAGCATCACACGTAATCTCACACACTTGGGCCACTGAAGCAGAGCAACTCTAAAGTGGTTGTGAACCCTTCCATATACCCAGTGAAGTGACCGGCCTCAAGTGATACACAGAGATGAAACGCATCCTCCCGCATAAGTTGTACCTGTTTATCTGCAGTCTTCTCTCCAGCCGTTCAAAGTGTACAATTTACACAGCTTGTCTGCGCTTTCAGAAAGCAGGGGGGTGGGGATCTGGAAGTTTAACTCTGCAGAGCTCAGTGAGAGCTGATTGGAGGGAAAAGACATTCCCTCCCCCTTCGCCCAGGAACGAAGCTGAGGCTGTCAATTTATTAATATTATTATTATTATTATTCAATAAAAAACAAATTAACTTGTGAGCCACTGAGGTATATTTAGGATTGTGAGTATTAGATCGCTGGTAAAAATGCCCACTCTCATATAATGTGCGTTTATCAACAGAATATTTAAATAATTACCGCGCTCTAATGCCCTCAAATAATACAATCTAAAGGTGCACAGTGCTTATAAAGTGAGTAAATGCATACCTCCTGGGTGCGGCCATGTTTTTTGGGGTCTATTATCGCACCAAATACATTGGTGTAATGAGTCTAATTACCATCCTATTCAGTGACTCCCACTGCTATCTCCGGCTTATATATATATATATTTGGGACAATATTGCTGCTTTTTTTCACAGTAGATTTTTTTATATTTCTTATTACATTTTTTATTTTATTTTTTTGGTGATTCATAAATGAAGTATTTGCACATTTATATGGAGATTGCACAAATAATGATTTGATAGGAAGATCAATTTGATATTTTTATTTATTTAATTACATCCATCACTTTAATATACATTTTTTATTTATAAGCACTGTGCACCTTTAGATTGTATTATTTGAGGGCATTAGAGCGCGGTAATTATTTAAATATTCTGTTATTATTTCAGGTACTTATATAGCGCCATCAATTTACGCAGCGCTTTACATATATATTGTACATTCACATCAACCCTCAAGGGGCGCACAATCTAAGGTCCCTAACTTCATATAACAGGGCCAATTTATACAGGATCCAATTAACCTACCAACATGTCTTTGGAGTGTGGGAGGAAACCGGAGTACCCGGAGGAAACCCACGCAGGCACAGGGAGAACATGCAAACTGCAGGCAGGAGGTGCCATAGCTGGGATTCGAACCAACGACCCGAGTACTGCCAGGCGGAAGTGCTAACCATTTAGCCACTGTGCTGCCCAATCACAGGCTGTGTGATGGAGGTCCCTCCCCTGTCACCATCTTTCTCTTGGTGTCTTAGAAATCTCTTCAGAAGTAACTCTTACAGATAGCAGAGGAATGAGGCAATGGATAGAAATGGCGCTTGGTGCTCTAGATTGAAACAAGTGCACACTATAGAGGGATTTGCTTTGTTCATATTTCATGTCTGAGGTTTACAACCACTTTAACCCCCAGAAGTCCAGAAATGGTACCTCTCAAATACAGATAGTAAATCCTAGATTGCTTTTAAATGTTCCTTTGAAAGCTTTGAGGACTCTTAGGGGAGTATTGTGGTCAGCTGTCTGAAATCAATGCGCGTGGCTTTGTGGCTGTGATTTAGGACCCATTTAGACTTCAGTGTCAATGTAATTTATGTGATATGCATTGCCATGCCATTCGTTTTGAATGGGATCCAAACACACTGATGCAACGTGTGCTGCGTTGTAACGCAATGCACAGCATAGTCATCAATCACAAAACACGGGTCACAGGCTGTGGGGTGTGATGGTTTTTTTTTTTTTTTTTTTTTTTTTTTTTTTTGTGTTTTGGTTGCCTTTTGAAGCCCATTATTTTTGAACACCGTTTTATAAAAGCAAATCGCATTGTTACCTCTGATTGCATGTAGATTTTAAAAAACAATTGTAAATTTTTATGTTTCATTCGATGGTCATGTGACCATACAGCCTTCATTTTGCTGCCTTCTTCCCCATAGTGGGGGCCTTGTCATTATAGCGAGCAGGTGAGCAGAGTATTTTCAATACAGCAGGGATGAACGGGGGGGGGGGGGGGGGGAGCATGATGGGCAAACTAACTACAGGAGATTCGGGCACATCATCCTAAATCTCAAAGCTAGAACAAAGGATAGACAAACTGACCATGCCAGCTTTATTTATTACAGGTACTTATATAGCGCCGTCAATTTACACAGCACTTTACATATATATTGTACATTCACATCAGTCCCTAACCCTCAAGGGGCGTACAATCTAAGGTCCCTAACTCTCAAGGGGCATACAATCTAAGGTCCCTAACCCTCAAGGGGCGTACAATCTAAGGTCCCTAACCCTCAAGGGGTGTACAATCTAAGGTCCCTAACTCACATTCATACATACACATACTAGGGCCAATTTAGACAGGAGCCAATTGACCTACCAGCATGTCTTTGGAGTGTGGGAGGAAACCGGAGTACCCAGAGGAAACCCACGCAGTCGCAGGGAGAACATGCAAACTCCAGGCAGGTGGTGCCGGGGTTGGGATTGAACTGCTTCTGTGCTTGGCATAATCAGAATTAAACAGGAAAAGGGGAGATCTGGCAGGATCACCAGTTATTTCAGAAGAAGAAATATATAGACCCTCACCATGCCACATCCAAAAGCTAGTACAAATGGCTTGAGGACATGTGTGTTCCTAAGCTATTTGTATTTTTTCAGAAGAAATAAAGATCTTGGTTTAGAGCAGGTTACGTGTAACCAAAACGGCATGTTAAAACAGACACACGTGGGGTTATTGACTAAAACTGCAGGGTGCAAAATCTTGTGCAGCTCTGCAAAGAAACCAATCAGCTTCCGGGTTTCATTGCCAAAGCTTAACTTAACAAGCTGAAGTCAGAAGACGATTGGCTTACCATGCACAGCTGCACCAGATTCTGAGTGAATCAGTTTTTGTAAATCCCCCCCCCCATATATGCAGTTCATATTTGGGGTAACATAACACACAGCGGCTCTCCTGTACCAGATCACGTATCCAGCACATGATCAGGCACTTCCAGGTAGGGCGTGTACACCGGCTGTGCTGTGGTTAGTCACAGCACAAGCTGATCAGCAGGTACCGGCCAATGATTGACCGTCGGCACCCGCTGATCAGCGAAGCGGAAGACACGGCAGAGCTCTGTCAGTGTAAGCAACACAGAGCTCTGTTCTGTCAGTGGGGATGTGCTGGTTTTTGTTTCCCTGTGAAGCAGGGAAACAAAAACTGGCACATCCCTCAGTGAAAGCACTTCACAGTACACGCATACACTAGTTAGGCACACGTTTAACCCTTTGATTGCCTTGCATGTTTAACCCCTTCCCAGTCGGTGGCAGTGTATATTTATAGCAGGGAAACAAAAAACCTTTGATTGGCACATCCCTCAGTGAAAGCACTTCACAGTACACGCATAAACACTAGTTAGGCACACGTTTAACCCTTTGATTGCCTTGCATGTTTAACCCCTTCATAGTCGGTGTCCCAGTGTATATTTTCACAAAAAGTCAGTGGCACTTCACAGTCAGCATACTGTGGCAGATTGTGCATGTTTACCCCTTTATAGCAGGAGGGAAACAAAAAAATCCCTCCGTCACACTTCACTCAGTGAAAGCACTAGTTCACAGTACACGCATCATAAACACTAGTTAGGCACACGTCACATTCCTTTAAGCCCTTTGATTGCCTTGCATGTTTAACCCCTTCCCAGTCGGTGGCAGTGTATATTTATAGCAGGGAAACAAAAACCGGCACATCCCTCAGTGAAAGCACTTCACAGTACACGCATAAACACTAGTTAGGCACACATTTAACCCTTTGATTGCCTTGCATGTTTAACATCTTCCCAGTCGGTGTCACTACTGTGGCAGTGTATGTTTATAGCACTAATCACTGTATTGGTGTCACTGGTTCCCACAAATTGGCAGTGTCAAATTGCCTGCTCTACTATCTCAGTCCATTACCTGCCTGCCATATTGACTGCTGTCATTACTAGTATAAAAAAGAAATCCAGTATATATCCCATAGTTTGTAGACACTAAAACTTTCATGCAAACCAATCAATATACGCTAATTGGGTTTTTTTTTTTTTTTACCAAAAAATGTGTAGCAGAATACATTTTGGCCAAAATGTATGAAGAAGAAATTTTATATTTTTTTTTACACTTTATTGGATAGGTTTTATAGCAGAAAGTAGAAATTTTATTTTTTTCATTTTTTTTTTTTTTTTGTTAAATTTATGGCATAAATTAAAAACCCAGTGGTGATGAAATGCTGCCAAAAGAAAGCTCGATTTTAAGCTCTTATTGAAAAGAAATGATATAAGTTTCATTTGTGTTCAGCGCTGCATTACCATACAATTGTCAGTTAAAGTAACAGTGCCAAGAAGCAAAAAATGGGCCGATCATGAAGAGGGTGAATCTTCCAGGGCTCAAGTGGTTAAACCTCTACAAAGAAGTAAATGGGCCCTTAATCTGAAAGGTTGTTGCTCAGGGAGGCTCAGTGAGTGCACTGAAATACAGATCTCTCTCGACAAATAGAGCACCAGTGTAGGGTCTGACAATGGGTCCAAGGATTTCATCCCGATACCTAATGGCAGTCAGGGTGCCACTGTCTAGCCTGTAGAGGTCTGTGCGTCCCTCCATGGAGATGCCTCCCCTGACCATCACTGACCCACCACCAAAACAGTCATGTTGAACCATGTTACAGGCAGCAGAACGTTCTCCACGGCTTCTCCAGACCCTTTCACGTCTGTCACATGTGCTCAGGGGGAACCTGCTCTCATCTGTGAAAAGCACAGGGTGCCAGTGGTGGACCTTCCAATTCTGGTGTTCAATGACAAATGCCAATCCAGCTCTATGGTGCCGGGCAGGGAGCACAGGGCCCACTAGAGGACGTCTGGCCCTCAGGCCACCCTCATGAAGTCTGTTTCTGATTGGTCAGAGGCATTCACACCAGTGTCCTGCTGAAGGTCATTTTGTAGGGCTCTGGCAGGGCTCATCCTGTTCCTCCTTGCACAAAGGAGCTGATACCGGTCCTGCTGATGGGTTAAGGACCTTCTTTGGCCCTGTCCAGCTCTCCTAGAGTAACTTCCTGTCTCCTGGAATCTCCTCCATGCTCTTGAGGCTGTGCTGGGAGACACAGCAAACCTTCTGGCAATGGCAGGTATTGATGTGCCATCCTGGAAGAGCTGGACTGCCTGTACAACCTCTGTAGGGTCCAGGTATGGCCTCATGCTACCAGGAGTGACACTGACCCTAGACAAATGCAAAACTAGTGAGAAACAGTCAGAAAAGATGAGTAGGGAAAAAATGTCAGTGGTCTCCACCTGTAAAGCCATTCCTGTTTTGGGGGTCGTCTCATTGTTGCCCATCTAGTAAAAAAATAAAGTGATAAAATTTAATAATAATGAAAGTACCTCCTTCCCCATGCGCAAAGGTGTATGCCCCTGTTAATTTCATGAACACCAAAGCAGCTGAAACTGATTACCACCCCCTCTGCTACTTACCTGACCAGATCCATATCCCAGGAGTGTCAGTGACTTGATGCTAGACACTGCTGAAAAAAATGAAAGGAAGACCTTGTAATCAATGTACATTTGCATTTCCCATTATGTGTTTATTAATGCCGTGTGCGAGGTCTCACAGCTGTTCTGTTTTTCCTCCTTTCCAGTAATGATTTGGGATGATCTGAAGAAGAAGACGGTGATTGAAATAGAATTTTCCACAGAGGTTAAAGCTGTGAAACTGCGTAGAGACAGGTAACCATCCTGGTGCAAGTAATAGACTGGTTATTTCTGTATGTGACCCTTTTTGGGGATATTTTCCCCCACTTCCTTTCCCTGTGACACCTATGAAAGCTCAGGAACCCCCCAAAAAATTAAATGGAAAAAGACCAAGTACAAAAAAAAGCCTTTATTTAGACATGCGTCTAAATCTCCCTTTACTCTGAAGCCTGATTGGCATTCGGATCGCACTTCAGAGGCTATTGATAGGCAGTAAGGAAGCAATGTGACGCTTCTTCACCGCCTGTTTTTACCTCGTGTTTTTGCCACAAAAAACGCACACCACAACCATGTTTATTTGCGTTGCTTCCCCATTTGGTAGAGTGTGTAGCCTTGCTGCCCGTCAATCACTACATGTCAAGTAAACTTGCTTGTGGGCAAGAAGCATGGCAACCTGAGCATGTTAACACCCCATTGGTGAGCTGCAAAAACACGGCTCAGCCATATTTTACAAAAAAAAAAATTTTTTTTTTTATTTTAAAGAAATTTTATGAAGTTTTTTTTTTTTTTTTTCCACTACAATTAAAGGCTTCTTTTTGGGCTTGGTCTTTTCTTCCCAGCTGGCCATGCTGCATCAGATTGCCTCTTAGATTTTAGCTGATTGCAGTTTGTGGTGTTACCTGAGTCCTGGTAATTATCCATGATTTATTGAACCTTTGATATTTTTATGCCATTCACTGGTGAATCTGGTAGATGAGTATTTGTGTTGCTTTGGATATTAGTTACTGTCACACATGGGTTACTATTTGTCATTGCACCAGACATGTATTACTACAGTCTCCTCATGAATCCGTGGATTATTTATTTTTTTTTATTACTAGTCTCCTCATGAATCCGTGGATTATTTATTTTTTTTTATTACTAGTCTCCTCATGAATCCGTGGATTATTTTTTTTTTTTTTTTTATTACTAGTCTCCTCATGAATCTGTGGATTATTTTTTTTTTTTTCTGTTCCAAAACGTCTTTTTATCTCTTTTACTAAAAGTCCTCATGCACACTTGACGTTTTTTACAGCGGCTGCTTTTGGCGTTTGACATTTTTTTTTTTTCTACAGTCCATAAACCCCCAGCATGTTATCCTAGATGTCCATACACACACAGACTGTAATCAATGTTTTTTGGATGGAAAAAAAAACAAAACTAATGGGTTTCTAGAGGCGTTTTTTAGCTGTAAAAACACTGTTAGCTGGTGCCTCCTCTTCTCTTTTCTGTCTGGCTTGCTGCAGCTTCTAATGCACATGGTGAGAAGCTCACAGTGTGCAGTGAAATCAGAGCAAGCCGTTTCAGTCCAGGAGAGAAGCCGGTACAACTGTGCAAGACTGGAGGGGAGGCCAGAGTTCAGCTTTAGCCCCTTCTTGCCCAGCCCCAACATCACTTTAATAGGGTCTGTACTCCCAGGGGGCAGGAAGGAATGGCAATCATGTGATTGGCTGGAACCGTGGTCACATGATTGGGAGCGGGTCGTTTAATGGGGATCAAGATCGGTCTTTTACAGCTCCATGTCTATGGTGTGAACAGGCTCTCAGCACTGAAACAGCCACAACCCAGTGACGCATATGTGCGGCGCGTGGACGTCAAAGCCCAGCCTTTTGCCGCCGCACATATATGTGACACACGCAGCAAAAGGGTGTGTAGATGGGGTGTGTCTCTGCCTATTCTACAGCCAATTTCTTGTGTCGTTTTTCCTTGCTGGACCCCAACTCACACAGGGCTCAATTCATTAAAGCAGATCTTTTTCCCAGATACTGCATGTGATGTTGAAAACGTCAATTCACTATCCCTTTATGCGGTATTTTCCTCCAAAAAACAAGCGTTCGGTAAATACCGCATTAGGCAGCGTTAAAAGTCACTTCACTAAAGGAAATTCATGCAGTAAATAAGAAGTGGTCCAGGCATGAGATAGTTGGAGAGTATTTTGATTAGGCTGGGTTGTCAGGGAGCTGGCACCCGCCGACATCCTTAACAACCAGTAACTAGTCCTTACCACCACGGCTCATCTGCTGTCAGTGGGGTTTCCTGCTGACAGCAGAATGTAAACAAAGGAATTGCTGACATTTAAAAATGTAAAACGAAGAAAACAGTGTGGGGGTTCCCCCAATCCATACCCCCCCAAAATCCATACCATACTTGTAAGGGTCTGGTATGGATTTTGAAGATAACCCCACTCCATTTTTTTTTTTTTTTTTTTTGTTCTTGCTCGTGTTACGCATGCTTATGTTCCCCTTCCTTTCTTGGCCTGCCTGGCTGCATGCTTGGATAAAGGCCTGATATGGTTTGGGGGGGGCATGCTGTCTGGTTTTTCATTTTTTTTAACCACTTCCAGACCGGACACTTTCCCCCTCTTCCTGACCAGGGGCAATTTTCAGCTTCTTCAGCGCTATCACCACTTTTTTGAATGACAATTGCACAGTCATGCAACACTGTACCTCAAATTTTTTTAGCATTTTTTTGAGACGAGACAGATAAAGCTTTTTTTTTGGTGTTATTTATTCACCCGCTGGGATTTTTTTTTTTTTGCTATGTAAATGAAAAAAGCTCCCAAAAATTTTGAACAAGTGTTTTTTTTTTATAAAATTTTGCAAATAAATAAGATTTCATCATAGGATCTTTGCCAAAATTTATTCCGTTATCTTTTTAGTAAAGAAAAAAAAAAATTAGTTTATAACTAGAGATAAGCCGAAGTATTCAAAACTTCGATTCAGACTGATTCGGGCGAATTGCGCGGAATAAATTCAAATTTCGAGTCGAATATATTCGCTGCGAATTTAACATTCATAAAAAGGGTGTTTCTAGGCTTCAGAGAGCTCTTTTATATTAGTGCAGAACACTGTACCTTTAATTTAAATGCCCTTGGAGTACCTGCCTGGGGAAGAGAAATAATACTGTCAGTCAGTTTATGACATGCAGATGAGTGCGTCGATCTTAGAATCACACGCACACTTCACTTCATTTGGGCATCACGGGGCCAAAACCAGAGTGTGGAGAGCCACAGTGTGGCGGTGGAGGCAGCAGCAATGGGAGGACCATACAGCCCCACCCTATGACAAATGGAACCCACAGCAGTGTGAGGAGACCTGAAAGTGGCACATGGCAGAGAGTGTGGCGATGGAGACAGCAGCAATGGTGAGAGGCCGTACCAGGGACCCATGAGACACTATGGACCTGGGCAGACAAGCATGAGGAAGAGGCGGGGTTACGGGGGCCCATGGCAGATTACGGGCCTGGCAGCAGCAATGGGAGGCCCGTAATCTGCCAGCACCCTTATGACAATAATGGAACCACCAGCAGAGTGAGGAGACCTGAAAGTGGACATGGCAGAGTGTGGCGATGGAGCAGCAGCAATGGGAGGCCGTACAGGGACCCATGAGACACTCTGGAACTCTACCTGGCAGCAGCATGAGGAGCGGGGTACAGGGGCCCATGACAGATTATGGGCCTGGCAGCAGCATGAGGAGTCGGTACAGGGGGGCCATGGCAGATTACAGGCCTGGCAGCAGCAATGGGAGGCCCGTAATCTGCCAGCACCCTATGACAAATGGAAACCCACCAGCAGTGTGAGGAGACCTGAAAGTGGCAACATGGCAGAGTTGTGTGGTGGATTGGAGACAGCAGCAATGGTCGGAGCAGGAGGCCGTTTATTACAGGGGACCCATGAGACACTCTGGACCTGGCGCACGGCAGCAGCTGATGGAGGCGGTACGGGGGCCCATGGCAGATTACGGGCCCTGGCAGCAGCAATGGGAGGCCCGTATAATCTGCCAGGACCCCTATGACACAAAATGGAACCCACCAGCAGTGTGAGGAGACCTGAAAGTGGCACATGGCAGAGTGTGGCGATGGAGACAGGAGGAAGCAGCATTGGGAGGCCGTACAGGGACCCATGAGACACTTGGACCTGGCAGCAGCATATGAGGAGGCGGCCGGGGTACGGGGGGGTACTGGGGGCCCATGGCAGATTACGGGCACCTGGCAGCAGCAATGGGAGCCGGCCCGTAAGCTGCCAGGACCCTATGACAAAATGGAACCACCAGCAGTGTGAGGAGGCTTGAGGAGACCTGAAAGTGGCACATGGCACCCAGTGTGGCGATGGAGGACAGCAGCAATGGGAGGCCGTACGTACAGGGGACCCATGACACACTTCTGGACCTGGCAGCAGCAAGAGGAGGACGGTACAGGGGCTCCATGGCAGCAGTGGCGAAGCGTAAGTCAGCTTAAATTGAAGGCCATACAGAGGCCTATGTTTAAAAATAATACACATGTTTGGGGCCATGATTCATGGCGGATTTTAGTCATTCGTTTGTGTCAGGTACTGGTTGGTTTTAAATCCAGATCTAATCCCACGCATGATTCATTTTTCACAAACGTGAGTCTCTCCACACTTTGGGTGGACAGTCGTGTCACTCGCGGAGTTACAATACCTCCTGCGCACTAAACACGCGCTCCGATGCCACGCTACTGGCCGGGCATGACAAGCCTTTCAAGGGCTAAATTCAGCTGTTGGTGCGGGGGGGGCCAAAGGTCAAGTTTCGTTGCCCAGTAGTCAAGGGGATTGTTACCTCGGTTGGCCATGGGTGCTGTCCAAGTAGGCCTAAGCCTGTTGTTTGAGGTCCTGCTCAGGTCCACCTGATGCTGCTGCTGCTGCGGCTGGTGCGTTAGTAGTTTCCTCACTGCGCTGGTGAGAAAGCTTACTCATCATCGACTGCAGACTGAGGCAGCCGGGCTGCTGGTGGAGCTGCCTACTGCTCCTACCACCCCACCCCTCCCTGCTGCCATGGCAGCGGAACGCGCGAACGCGGATGCGCACAGGGCCACAGTGTGTCTTGAGGATGGACGTTAGCGCAGACAGGCAGAGACCAACTGACTACCATAGGTGGTTTTTATAGTAACGTTATTTTGGCCTCCCTCTCAGCAGGTGTGAAAAGGCCACCATTTTTGAACGGTAGCGAGGGTCCAACAAGGTGGACAGCCAAAAGTCATCCTCTGTCTGATGGTTATTATTCGGCTGTCGCACCTACGCAAGCAAACGAGCATGCTATGGGCCATTTGTGCCAAGGACATGCGAGGGACTCCCTGCCTCCATCTCCACAGCATACTGCCACGGTGCGTCTGGGTCCTCTGTCTCCTTCCTCCTCCTCCTCTACCAGATGCTCCTGCTCCTCCACTCCTGTCACGCTGAGTGGAAAAACCACCCATTTCACTCAATAATTCCTGAGCACCAATGTCCTCCTCTACCTCCTCCTCCTCTTCTTCCTGTCCTGCCCCCACAGGGGTCATGTGGCGTTGAGATCTGTGCGCCACGTTACCGCACCCTGACCAGCCATTGTTAACAGCATTTGTTCCAGGACGTGCAACAGAGGAATGACGTCGTTCATCCCATAGTCCTGCCGACTCACGAATAGCAGTCTGGCCTCCTCAAAGGGCCTGAGCAAGCGGCAGGTTTCACGCATTAGCTGCCAATGGCTGACATCTAAGTTACACAGGGGAGTACCTTTATCGCTTGTAACATCAGGAAATCGGTGATGGCCTTTCGCTGTTCGTAAAGGCGGTCTAACATGTGTAGGGTTGAATTCCACCTTGTTGCAACGTCAAGCATGAGGAGTCGGTACGGGGGCCATGGCAGATTACGGGCCTGGCAGCAGCAATGGGAGGCCCGTAATCTGCCAGCACCCTATGACAAATGGAACCACCAGCAGTGTGAGGAGACCTGAAAGTGGCACATGGCAGAGTGTGGCGATGGAGACAGCAGCAATGGGAGGCCGTACAGGGACCCATGACACACTCTGGACCTGGCAGCAGCATGAGGAGGCGGTACAGGGGCCCATGACAGATTACGGGCCTGGCAGCAGCATGAGGAGTCGGTACGGGGGCCCATGGCAGGATTTACGGGCCTGGCAGATGACGACGAGGCTGCCAAGTGCGATCAGCCTCATCATTCAATTAGGGTCTCCGCCTCACTACTAGCCCCCTCGGCTGCGTGTGGGGTCAGGAGACAGACCTGTCTCTAGACCGGCTACCGAGCCCCTCTCCTCGCCAGTACTTCTTCGCCTGGCTGCTGAAGAGGCGGATGTCTCCCCCCATTCCTGACCGCCCTCTGTTAGCTCTTCCTCACTGTACAGTGGGGCTGAGCCCACAGCATGCGATACTTCGCTTGGTGAGGGAACACCAAAGGACAGGGGCAGGTAGAGGACACGTGATTTCAGTGGGCTTGCTCCCGGGCCATGCCAACTAACGGTTGTGTCTGACGTACCCACCGACCGTTGGCTGTAGGTGTCAGAGGTGACCTGGGAAGAGGAAGACGACCGAGCCAACCAATCGATGATGGCAGGGTTGTCGGTGGTGAGACACGACCGCTGGATGACACCGGGAGCACTGGCCTCTGGCTGCGAATAGTGCTGCCTCGAACCCCTTCCTCTGCTGCCACGTCTGCTCGCTCCTGAAACATTGCCTCCTCTGCGTGTTGTCTGACATACTCTTTAATTCAACGATTCTGTGTCCCTGAGTAACGATTCTGTGTCCCTGAGTAACGATTCTGTGTCCCTGAGTAACGATTCTGTGTCCCTGAGTAACGATTCTGTGTCCCTGAGTAACGATTCTGTGTCCCTGAGTAACGATTCTGTGTCCCTGAGTAACGATTCTGTGTCCCTGAGTAACGATTCTGTGTCCCTGAGTAACGATTCTGTGTCCCTGAGTAACGATTCTGTGTCCCTGAGTAACGATTCTGTGTCCCTGAGTAACGATTCTGTGTCCCTGAGTAACGATTCTGTGTCCCTGAGTAACGATTCTGTGTCCGTCCCTGAGTAACGATTCTGTGTCCGTCCCTGAGTAACGATTCTGTGTCCGTCCCTGAGTAACGATTCTGTGTCCGTCCCTGAGTAACGATTCTGTGTCCCTAAAGTCTCTCTGGCCCTAAATCTGTCCCTAATACAGACAGGTCTGTCTCTCTTGAATGACCGGAGGCTAATGGAGAATTCTAAGATGGCCGCAATTTATAGCTCCACCATTACACAGTGCTGGCTGGCTGCTGATTGGCTAGTGCGATCACATGTCATGAATGAATGCATTATGGGTCAGCGCGCCTTGTCTGCGCGCCTTCCCAGAGATCCCCGCTCCGTTGCCACACATGTCGCCGCCATTTTTGGGAAAATTCGATTTGTGCATCCGAAGTTGGCTAATTTTCGGATTCGGCGCGAATCGAATATTTCCCAATATTCGAAACGAATTCCACTTCGCCATGTTCGATTCGCTCATCTCTATTTATAACCAAAAATTATAATTTTTAAACATTTTTTTTATATATATATATAATTTTTTTTTTTTTTTTTTTACACATTGCTTTTACACCCATATAGGATGTAAAAGCAATCATTTCTCTTTCTCTCTCTGTGCATTCTTGCACTCATTGAGAACTACTGAGTGAGCTGTGATTGGTCACAGCTTGTCACATGGTACTGTTGTGAACAGCCCTGTACCATGTGACCTCTGTGATCATTCACAGATTTCACACGTAGTAAGCAATGATGTCACAAGTGACATCTTGCTTACTACTTTGCATGTGATCACTGATTGGCCAATCAGTGATCACATCATCGGGACCTCATACAGAGGTCCCGTCCGACGATCGGTGTTTCACTGTGTCCAGAGGACACAGCGGGCATCGGATCGCGGTGCTGCGCTCTCTCAGGGAGCGCGCACAAGCAGGGTGTGGGGAGGCCGTTTATAAACGGCCACCCGACCCTGCACTGCCACCGTCTGGCCGTTTATATGCACCGGCCGGTCAGGAAGTTGTTAAATGACAATTTTTGTTTGCATTCTTCTGTCAGCAGGGAACCCCGATGACAGCACAGGAGTCATAGTTTTTAAGGACATGGCGGCCGCCTTCTCCTTAACAACCATGTTTACTGGTTGTTAAGGACGCCGGCTACTGCTGGCATTAAAATACAGCTAGCCTTCACTACTAAAATACAACATCGCTTCATAAAATGGCCCATGCGGTGTTTTAGTAACGCTTTTTTGCAAATTACAAAAAATGTGGGAGTATCGCTAAGAGGTATTTTACAGCAGTTCTCATAACAGTAGATACCGCTTTGTGACTTGAGTCCACAGCACCGGGCTGAATGACAGCGGGAGATTCGTGTGAGGGACCTGTAGAAAGGAGTATTTTGATTGGTGAGATTCTGCTCCACACTGATATCCACTACAGAGACGCCAGCAGCGCTGTAACTGTAAAGATGGGCGCTCTTGCATCCCATCACTGAATAGTACAAGCGGTCTTCAGGCACTGGGTGTACGTGACTGGCCAGGGTTTGGGAACTGGTTCATTAGACCTTTTTTATTTTCTTGGCTCTGTTCTCGCAGTGACTTCTCATTTCCATGTCTTCTGTGTTTCAGAATTGTGGTGGTTTTGGACTCTATGATCAAAGTGTTCACCTTCACACACAACCCCCATCAGCTGCACGTCTTTGAAACATGCTACAACCCTAAAGGTAACGGCTCGGGGTCATGGGTATGTGGTGCTGAAAGTTTGTCTGTTGAGTTGGGTCCTTCTGTCCAGTGGGCCGACCACTCGGGCTGTCCGGTGGGCCGACCACTCGGGCTGTCCGGTGGGCCGACCACTCGGGCTGTCCGGTGGGCCGACCACTCGGGCTGTCCGGTGGGCCGACCACTCGGGCTGTCCGGTGGGCCGACCACTCGGGCTGTCCGGTGGGCCGACCACTCGGGCTGTCCGGTGACAGCTTATGCTCAGTCCATTATTATTATTCTGTTATTTTTATGTAAACTACCAGAGAGATGGATGATTGACAGCTGACTGATGTACATTTTTATATTTTAATGTGTACCATATACCTATGGATGGTTATAAATAGTGATTATGAAAGTCATCAGTTTATTATAATGTAATGTGTGTTTTAGAGATGTTTTTTCATACGTAAAACTAGATGTACTTGGGGGCAGCCATCCTTGCCTATTATATAAGCAGTCTCTGTCCTCTGCCGAGGTATGCTGTGCTGTGATTGTGCTTTACCGTTTATCCTTCTTAATGCACGTTTTTCTGTTCTTGTTTGGTTAAAGCTGAAATCTAGCAATTCAGCATCTTTGTAAAAAAAAAAAAAAAAAAAAAAAAAAATGAAGGCACACGGAGTTAAAGCGGAGCTCCACCTAAAAGGGGAAGTTCCACTTTAAGGCCTCGTCCCCCACTCCCCGTTAAGAATTGGCACCTTTGGGGGAGTGGGTAGCCGATTTTGACAGGTTCCCGCTACCACTTCTGCTGCAATTGCCTAGGCAATTGGAAGTGGAAGTTGTCCTCCCTCTCCATAGGTCTTCATGACACGACAGGTCCCAGAAGACTACGGGACCATTCACAAGGCGCAGCGCTACTTATGCATGCGCAGTGGGCACCCGGCTGTGAAGCTGCAAGCTGTCACAGCCAGGTGCCTGCACTTAAGATGCCAGGGAAAGAGGACGGCCAATGAAACTGGGTGCAGCGAGGACACCGCTGGACCGAGGGACAGGAGTTTTTTTCGTTTTGGTGAGGGTTTTTTTTTGTTTTTGGTGGTGGTTTGTTTTATATTTGGTGGTTTTTGTTTTTTGGTGGGGGTTTGTTTTGTTTTTGGTGGGGGTTTGTTTTGTTTTTGGTGGGGTTTGTTTTGTTTTTGGTGGGGGTTTGTTTTGTTTTTGGTGGGGGTTTGTTTTGTTTTTGGTGGGGGTTTTGTTTTGTTTTTGGTGGGGTTTGTTTGTTTGTTTTTGGTGGGGGTTTGTTTTGTTTTTGGTGGGGGTTTGTTTTCTAGAAGTCAGCAGCTACAGGTTTTTTTTTTTTTTTTTTTTTTTTTTTTTGAGGCTACCGACTTATTTTTTTACACTTTAGAGCTCTGCTTTAAGTCCAGCGAGGTGCATGACACCTCCTGGGATTAGCTCTTTTAGATCAATCAGCTTTATAGCTCTGCATCCTCCTGAGCTCTGCATCTTGAATAGGAGAGTTGCTGCAGCTGCTATGCCCACCCCCTCCCCCCTCCCCTGCTCCTGGCCATTCACAGAAGCCTTTGTGTTATGTGAACACATTCACACAATACAAAGGCTTCTCAGAATGGGCAGCAGAGGAGGGGAGTGGTGGGCATAGCTGCTGTGTGTGCCTTTCTCCTCCCTCACAGCCCTGAGTGACAGAGCAATAAACCTGTCAGATCTAAATGATAGAGAAGCCCAGGAGGTGTCACGCAGCTCCTTGGACTTAACTCCACGTGCCTTCAATTTTTACAAAGTGGTTGAATTCCTGGAATTCAGCTGTAAGAACATAAAGAACCCACCAATCTCTGTAATGAAGAAATGATGCAGTAAACATGTAAAAATAAGTTACTTTTAATTTGAAAAAAAAAAAAAAAACTTGGCTTTACAATCCCCAGGAAGGAATATGCCATTTCCCGCACTAATGTAGTGTCCTCTCCTCCTAAAGGCCTGTGTGTCCTGTGTCCGAACAGTAACAACTCATTCCTGGCGTTCCCCGGCGCTCACACCGGCCATGTGCAGATTGTGGACCTAGCCAGCACCGAGAAGCCTCCCGTTGACATCCCAGCCCACGAGGGAGTGCTAAGCTGCATCGCTCTGAACCTTCAAGGGACCAGAATCGCCACCGCTTCAGAGAAGGTCAGAGCGCCTTTATGGTGACTGATCATGGTAATGGATGGGAGAGATCTGGGGGTGCCAGGAGCACTTACCTTGCACCCATTCTCCCCCCTTATGTAAAAAAAACAAACGTGAAGGCAACAAAGGAGGGGAACCCCCTCAGCTCCAAATCAACCCCCCATGTAGAGGGCATGTGGCCTGGTATGGTTCAGGAGGTTCCTGACCTGCCGAGCTGCATGCTCGGATAAGAGTCTGGTATGGATTTTGGGGAGGGATCGCCACGCCCTTTTTTTTTTTTTTTTTTTTTTTTTTTTTTTTTTTTTTTAATCTTGGCGTGGGAGTTCCCTTCAAAATCCATACCAGACCCAAAGGGCTTGGTGTGGATGGGAGGGGAGACCCCATGCCGTTTTTAAAATTATTTTTTTAATTGCCGGCAATTCTTTTACATTCAGCTGTCAGCACTTATCTTGCACCCATTTCCCCTCCCCCTTAAGTAAAAAAAACAAACGTGAAGACAACGAAGGAAGGAAAAAAAAAGTGTAAACAGGACTCCCTCGTTACTCCCCAACTTCTGGCATTTCCTGTAAGTGCTGATGACATCACTGGGCCCTTCTTCAGGATCCTGGGAAAGCTGAGGATCCCAAATCCTATGAGAATCCTTCAGAGTGGTCGGCGTCGTCAGCATCTGCAGGGTTGGGTGGATATCTGGGTGGGGGCTGGGTGTAAAATGAATAGGAGTGAATTTCTGTCACCTGACTGAAGCATCTTTATCACCACAGGGAACCCTCATCCGGATATTCGACACGACGTCCGGGCACCTAATCCAGGAACTGCGGAGAGGATCGCAGGCTGCAAATATTTACTGGTGAGAGTTTGCTGGAATACTTGGTGATGTCCTAACCACCCTGCTGAGAGTACTTGGCAAGGGCGGACTGACAACTCATGGGGCCCCCGGGCAATAGGGGATCATGGGGCCCCTGTGTCCTTGCCCACACTCAAAGCACACCCAAAAAAAGCCTATAAAAGGTACCAGGGGCATCTCATGGGGCCCCCTACTGACCCCAGGCCCTTGGGCAGTGCCCGAATGCTCGAATGGTCAGTCCGCCCCTGGTACTTGGTGATGTCCTAACCACCCTGCTGAAAGTAGTGCTTGGTGTTGTCCTAACCACCCTGCTGAGAGTAGTGCTTGGTGATGTCCTAACCACCCTGCTGAGAGTAGTGCTTGGTGATGTCCTAACCACCCTGCTGAGAGTAGTGCTTGGTGATGTCCTAACCACCCTGCTGAGAGTAGTGCTTGGTGATGTCCTAACCACCCTGCTTGGTGATGTCCTAACGGTCGCAAAAACTGCGCAAAACATAGTGAAGTACACAGTTCAGCCATTTTGTAGGCACCTCCATCTTGGTACGGTGTATATATTGTGTTTCTCATTCTCCTTCCCCCTCCCTTCCTGAGAGGCACAGTGACAGATGTGTGTGTGTTAAATGTCACTGGCAGGTAGAGCAGCAGGGGGCCCAGAGCTACAAAGCCCCCCAAGAGAGACAGAGCCGCCCTGCCCAGGAACCTGTGGAATCTCTCACTTCATAACCGAGATAAGGCAGCTTTTCCCAGGAGTTGAGATTGTAACCTCATAAGACCTAGCAGCTTAGGTGACAGAATTAAATGAGCATTCCTCAGGTCAGTTTTTATCCTATGTTTCATATCATGGATTATGAAGATGTTGGTTCTAATTCAGAGTCCGCCCGACGACCCCTCCCTAAACAGAGTATTGGTCAGTTACTCAGAGCCACCCCCCTGCTGGGGGATTTTAAAACACAGGCTAGCAGGCCTAAAAAGTTAAGTTGAAGACATCTCCCAATTGTAACATCAATATACCACCTGGGGAGACCCTTTGCTCTGAAACTTGGATCTGCTTATGGCTTAATTGGCAAGTAGCTTAACCCTTTAACTTCCTCTCTGATATCTCTTTGCTGTGCTGTGGTTATTTGTGTGTGTGTGTGTGTATATATATATATATATATATATATATGTATGTATGTGTATATATATGTGTATATATATATATGTGTATATATATGTGTGTGTGTGTGTATATATATATATATATATATATATATATATATATATATATCTCACATCTTTTTCTGTAAATATTTTTATTGCACCTGTCTGACTCTTTTAGTAATAAATCTTTCTTTCTGAAAGTGTTAAACTGTTTCTAAAGCGCTTACTTGCAATTTACGAATTCCTGCCTCTAAAGAGACGCTACTGTGTTTATTTAATCCTCTGCCCAATCGGCCTGCGGTGACCGTATTGGACAGATGACTTTTCAATCATTACAGTGTATATTTGATAAAGAGAGTTTCCCCTTTCTCTGTACAAAAAAGGGGGGTTGCAGTGAAGGGTTAGTGGCATAATTAACCCGACCCAGTAACAAGCGCATCCAGGCTGCAGGCACAGATTGAAATACATTAGCTGGAAAATTGCTGTGTTGGGTGTGGCATTGTTATGCATGTCACATCGCAGTCTGGATCGGCCGGTCCTTCGGTCACGAGTTTGGTGAGAAGGTCTGGGGTCTGAGGCTGCGATCGTGACATATTGGTGGCAGCGGTCGTGAGATTGTCGCATGTTGGTGGCGGCGATCTTGCGATCGTGACACTAACCACCCTGCTGAGAGTAGTACTTGGCGATGTCCTAACCACCCTGCTGAGAGTAGTACTTGGCGATGTCCTAACCACCCTGCTGAGAGTAGTACTTGGCGATGTCCTAACCACCCTGCTGAGAGTAGTACTTGGCGATGTCCTAACCACCCTGCTGAGAGTAGTACTTGGCGATGTCCTAACCACCCTGCTGAGAGTAGTACTTGGCGATGTCCTAACCACCCTGCTGAGAGTAGTACTTGGCGATGTCCTAACCACCCTGCTGAGAGTAGTACTTGGCGATGTCCTAACCACCCTGCTGAGAGTAGTACTTGGCGATGTCCTAACCACCCTGCTGAGAGTAGTACTTGGTGATGTCCTAACCACCCTGCTGAGAGTAGTACTTGGTGATGTCCTAACCACCCTGCTGAGAGTAGTACTTGGTGATGTCCTAACCACCCTGCCGAGAGTAGTACTTGGTGATGTCCTAACCACCCTGCCGAGCGTAGTACTTGGCGATGTCCTAACCACCCTGCTGAGAGTAGTACTTGGTGATGTCCTAACCACCCTGCTGAGATGAGTTTCCTCCGGGGCCAGTGATGGGCGTTCCACGGCAAGCTGCTTGCAGTCTGATACCTGCTTTTTCTTCTGTAAATACTGAGGTTGTCCTGGGAAGTTCCTGAGTACAGAGACTATGGTGGAATTATGTGGTGTAATCGTCATGTGATCAGTCTAAATGTTGTAAAAGCAGAAACATGGGATCCCTGTAGATATCTGGGCATCTCATGAAACATGAAAGGCTTACGCAGGCCATACATTATGCAAATTTCTTTCCTTCAACCATGGCTTGAAGGAAGAACGTTTCTTGATATCCTCATCAGCCAGTTGATGTCATCACAGGGTCTCTGCGCTTCTTTATGCAGTGCGGGCAGATCATGGCTGGTAGGAGGGGAGGAGTTATGCAAATATGAAAATGTCTTGATGGGTGGATGTCAGTCTGGAGGAGTGGGTGTTCCTAGGCAGACTGAATTTGCATGTAGTACCGCCCTAGGTAGCGCCTACATGTGCTGCTGAACCCCTTCATGCCGACATCACACAATTGAAAGAACTGGGCTTTTTTCCGTGGGGCCGCGTATTTGCGTACCTTACTTTCTGCAGGGAGCTCACCGCGCTCCCAGCACAGAGACCGGGGTGACACTGAGAGCCCCGGGTCACGTTCTAACAATCGGGACCCCAGACTCCCGATTCCGGGTCACATGATTGCTGTGATAGCCTCTGACTGGCTATCACAGTGATCAGTCACTGTGCAGCTCGTTTTTTTCCCCCTTTTATGAATGGAGGAGAGAGATACATTGTATCTCTCTAACTCCTGGCATAGAGGGTGGGGGGGGGGAATTGTTTATTAAAAAATAAATATTAAATTAAAGAAAAAACTACCTAGATCAAGATTTGATCTAGTTCAGTGCCAGGGTAAGTGTTTGGGTCAGGGTCAAAGGTCAGGATTTTTTTTTTTTTATTTAATTGGTATCAATGTCTATGTTTTTAGGTTAAACAAAAAAAAAACACAGAATGCGCACTATTCTGGGCTGTACTCCGGGTAAAAACAACAAATAACATACACATATATGGTATCGCTGCGACCGTCAAGGGCTGGAGAATTTATTTTGGGTTGTTTTTTGGTGATAGGTTATGGTAGTAACAAGAAACACACAGCTAAATTTAAATTTTGTTTTTTTGTTTTTTTTTACTATTTTGGGGCCGTTTTCCATTGATAATAATAATAAAAAAAAATCAGGAGATATCAATTACCACCAAATGAAAGCCCAATTTGTCCTGAAAAAAAACGCGGTATAATCCACCGCCAAAATGTATTCTGCTCTGTCTTTGCTAAAAAAAAAAAAAAAAAAATACCAATACATGTAAATTAATTGGTTTACATGAAAGCTATAGCGTCTACAAATGGCGGTATAGATACTGGAATTTTTATTTTTACTAGTAATGGCGATCAGCGACTTTATAGCGGGACTGCGGCGGGCATTCTGACACTGGGAGGTAACTGACTTGGTGTCACTGACATCCCCAGAGACACCAACACAGTGATCAGTGCTAAGAAAAAGCACTGAGACTGTACTAATGGCACTGAGCAGGAAGGGGTTAACATCTGGGGCAATCAAAGGGTTAACTGTGTGCTTTTTTTTACTTGGGCAGTGTCTGTGTGCACAGTCATGCAAAGCATTGTGCCAGAGCTGACGGGAGAGATCTGTTTTGTTTACTAACAGTTTTCCCCCCTGTTGGAGATGCTGGGTAATCACCAGCTGGGACCCGGTGATTGACAGCCACGAATGTCGGCGCGGGTAGGGCGCGCGCGCCTCCCACCCCGAAAATGCAAGATCACGTATATATGCATGTGATTCTGCACACCCCGTGCCGCCCTGTAGCACTACTTCTACTATAGGGCGGACGGGAAGGGGTTAATGAAAGCCATGCGTATTTCTTATGGTCGCTGGATGAAGGTGTGTAATAGGAAGCCGCCTGACTACCACCTTTTGATATCTTATAGCATCAACTTCAACGAGGACGCCTCTCTGATCTGCGTTTCCAGTGATCACGGGACGGTGCACATCTTCGCAGCAGAAGATCCAAAGAGGAACAAACAGTCCAGGTATGGGGGCCACATAGCGATGTACATAGTTTCTGTATCACTGCGACGGCCATTGCATTTGCTGCTTAGAGTTACGGTGACGGGCGCATTTTCCAAGTTTGAGAGACTGATTTTTTTTTTTTTTTTCTGTCTTGTGTTTTTACTTTTTAGTGTAAATGAAAGTCTGTAGGGTGTAAGGCCTTGTTCACACGTACATTGGTCTCTGATTAGCTGTCCTTGTTCGGATCGTTCTTCAGAGAGCATTGGACAGGTGGTTAGGGTATTGCTTCCTCACTGCTTGCTTTAACCCCTTCGACCCTGTGCTAGCGAGTATTTATTTCAGGTACTTCTGTAGCGCCGTCAATGTACTCCGCGCTTTACATATATATTGTACATTCACATCAGTCCCTAACCCTCAAGGGGCGTACAATCTAAGGACCCTAACCCTCAAGGGGCGTACAATCTAAGGTCCCTAACCCTCAAGGGGCGTACAATCTAAGGTCCCTAACCCTCAAGGGGCGTACAATCTAAGGTCCCTAACCCTCAAGGGGCGTACAATCTAAGGTCCCTAACCCTCAAGGGGCGTACAATCTAAGGTCCCTAACCCTCAAGGGGCGTACAATCTAAGGTCCCTAACCCTCAAGGGGCGTACAATCTAAGGTCCCTAACCCTCAAGGGGCGTACAATCTAAGGTCCCTAACCCTCAAGGGGTGTACAGTCTAAGGTCCCTAACCCTCAAGGGGTGTACAATCTAAGGTCCCTAACCCTCAAGGGGCGTACAATCTAAGGTCCCTAACCCTCAAGGGGTGTACAGTCTAAGGTCCCTAACCCTCAAGGGGTGTACAATCTAAGGTCCCTAACCCTCAAGGGGCGTACAATCTAAGGTCCATAACTCACATTCATTCAGAAAGTGCACCCACCCCCACAAGATAGAAGTCTATGGCAGAGCGCAGCTAACCTGCAGGAAAGCCTCTGGTCTGGAGTGCCGCAGCCGTGGTGCAGATAAACCGCAGCACATCGGTGTAAAAGCAGCCTTATAGGGGGCTCTGAACAGTAAGGGCTCATTTAAATTTGCAATTTGGGGGGGGGGGGGGTTAAATCCCCATAGTTGAGACCTGTTATTACCACTAACACCACCAACACCACACCCCCAACCACTGGCACTGGCAACCTCTCCCATGCCGCAGGGCGGCCTGTGCGACCTTCTGTCACATTTTGTTTTACAATTAAACAGGAGGGGAGGCGGAATATACAGGATACACAGATTCCTCCTGCAACCAGTCTGGCTCCTCCTCCTCCCTCCTCTTCATCATCATCTCCATGCCCATTATGCTATTCAAAATAAAAAAATGAGAAATTTTATTGTGGCCGCAACTGGTTACCAAATCTTCAGTGGCTCTCGCTCTTCAAAAGGGTTGAGCGCCCCGGTGAAGAATCTTTAATAATCCATAGGAAGACCATAAGTATTCGTTACGTGGCGGGTAGATGAAAGGGGATATTTCCTGCTGATCCCTCTCTTTGCAGTGACCACCAGGCAGCAGGTCAGGGCGGTGTTAGAACTCTGGATCGTTTATTTCAGGTACTTATATATCGCCGTCAATTTACTCCGCGCTTTACATATATATTGTACATTCACATCAGTCCCTAACCCTCAAGGAGTGTACAATCTAAGGTCCCTAACCCTCAAGGGGTGTACAATCTAAGGTCCTTAACCCTCAAGGGGTGTACAATCTAAGGTCCCTAACTCACATCCATACATACACACACTAGGGACAATTTAGACAGGAGCCAATTCACCTACCAGCATGTCTTTGGAGTGTAGAAGGAAACCGGAGTACCCGGAGGAAACCCACGCAGGCACAGGGAGAACATGCAAACACCAGGCAGGTGGTGCCGTGGCTGGGATTCGGATCATATAAGGCTGATGAAAGAGCACGGCCCCCGAAATGTATTCCTGGCAGCGGATCTGTGTCGCTGGTCTGAGGAAGCATGCAAAACCACAGGTGACATGGAGGAGGGATCAGCAGGAAGTAACTCCTTCTGCCTACCTGACATGTCATTGGAGTGTAATACTTATCTGTGGATTAATAAAGATTCTGCACTGCCATTGGGCCTTTCTGTTAAATCCGAGCGCTGCACTCTGCAAACACACAAAGCTGGATAAATGAACAAAAAGGACAGTTTGTGACTCTAACGTCCTGATTTATGTTCGATCAAACTGACTTTCTGCAACGTTTCAGCATTTGATTGCTGCGGTTATAGAGGTTTTGTATCTCTGGTGGTGACAGGTAGTAGCACAGTGTGCTGGTCGCATTGTAGTCGTGTTTTTTTGTGTTTTCCAGTTCTACCTGCAGGATGATTATTAGATGGTATTTTACAATGTGTCTCTTGACTTTTCACTTTTTTTTTTTTTTTTTCCCCTACAGTTTGGCATCGGCCAGTTTCCTTCCCAAGTACTTCAGCTCCAAATGGAGTTTCTCCAAGTTTCAGGTCCCTTCCGGATCGCCTTGTATTTGTGCCTTTGGAACAGAGCCGAACTCTGTTATAGGTAATGGCAAGTCTAATGCAGGCCATCCATGGGTCGAAATCCGGATGAATTTTCTGTAGAAAATCGGAAATTTCATGCATTTTGTAATCCGATGATGCTGACCCCGACTGCACTTGGGTACTCCCGTTAGGATACGCTTCCCTGTCCAAACACCGACAACAGACACCACAGCAGACCATACGAGACTAGCCGACACCAGTCTTGAAGTAAACCAGGAAGTAGACTAGTTTATTTTAACACAGATACAAGATATATACACTCAGGGGACAATCCCCCCTCCTGCATAATGACACAGGGTGGGGCAATCTATATTTAGTAACGAGACACACCAGCAGACAGTCCCATCAGGAGGGAGAGCTGCTGGGGACCCCCCCCCCCCCCACCATCAAGCCAATACACAAACACATACATCCCAGTTTGCTCCCAAGCCAGACACACAATAGAACATGGGGACACACAACAACCCCCCACCCCAATATTAGTACAGATCACCCTGTACCCCTAACAGGCACAGGGTGACTTACACATAAGAGGGATTTGGGGAGCTGAGACAGGGGTCTCCCCACCTCCCAAAGTGAGCTGGGTTCCATGGGCTCCCCACCCAAAGTGACTCCGGCACAGGTGCCACCATTAATTTCGAAATTCGACCAGCCAAGCCTTTAATGTGGCTACAGAAAAGAATTTTCGTAGCCAAGAATTTTCTTTTCAGGTCACAGCTCATTTCTTTTTCAATTACATTCTCACACGATTCTCCCATCATTGATTAGAAATTCGTTCGTTTTTCAAAAAAAATTTCCAACATGTCCGATTACTCAAATTCGATGGGTCACACTCGAAAATCGGCCGTTGCTGCGGCTCCACTAATGGTGGGAAATTTAGAACAAAAATACTTAGAAAAGATTTTCAAAAGAAAGTTCTTTCAGAATTGGACCCGTGTATGGCTGAAGGTGTATTGTCGCCTTCATTCAAACACACGCTGTATCTGCAGGTGAGGTCAGGGTGGGTCATCTGAACTGCTGCAGGTTGGTTGGCTGTTGAGTCCATGAGTGAAATTTTGAGGGCTAAATCTGGCTATAGATGGGTCAAATTTTGTTTGCTTCCGCAGGGACCAGCCGAGATTTGATCCATCGATCAACTTGGGTACAACCAGGATGTCTGATTTTTAGCATTTGGTTATAGCCACCAGCAGCAATCGCTGAGTTCTCCCTGCTCTCTAGCAGGTAATACGACTGCTATATACAGGGCATTCATGAAGTATTCAGACCCCCCCTTCACTTTTCTCAATGTTATGTTGCAGCCGGATACTACAGTGATTTCAAATATTTTTCTTTTTCCATTAATCTTCACTCGGTACCCCATAATGACAAACCAAAAACAGACATTTAGAAATGTCTGTGAATCTATTAAAAGGGAAAATCTCTCATGTACTTTGTACTCAGTACTTTGTTGAAGCCCCTTTGGCAGCAATTCCGGCCTCGAGTCTCTTTTGGGAATGACACCACAAGATTGGTTCCAGTGACACCTGGATTGGGGGATTTTCTGTCATTCTTCTTTGCAAATCCTCTCCAGCTCAGTCAGGTTGGATGAGGACCATCAGTGGACGGCCATTTTCAGGTCTCATGTTTAATAGGGTTCAAGTCAGGGCTCTGGTTGGGCAACTCTAGGACATTCACAAAGTTGTCCCTAAGCCACTCCTGTGTTGTCTTGGCTGTGTGCTTAGGATCATTGTCATGTTGGAAGGTGAAACTTCAGCCCAGTCTGGGGTCCTGAGTGCTGTGGAACAGGTTTTCATTGAGGATCGCTCTGTACTTTTGCTCCATTCAGCATTTCCTTAACTCAGACCAGTCTCTGCTGCTGAAAATCACCCCCACAGCATGCTGCTGCCACCACCATGCTTCACTGTTGGGATGGTACTGGGCAGGTGATGAGCAGCCATAACATTTAGAATTGAGGCCAATCCATTCAATCTTGGTTTAATCAGACCAGTGACTTGTTCCTCACGATCTGAGAGTCCTTCAGGTGCTTTTTTGTAAATTCCCAAGCAGGCTTTCATGTGTTGTGAGGAGAAGCCACTCTGCCAGATCCAGTCCAGATCGGTGGAGGGTTGCAGTGATGGTTGTCCTTCTGGAACTTTATCCCAACTCCATACAGGATCTCTGGAGCTCAGTCAGAGTGACCATCAGGTACTTGGTCACTTCTTTTACTCCCTTCTCCCCTGATTGCCTAGTTTGGCTGGGTGACCAGCTCTTGGAAGAGTCCTAGTTGTGCCAAACGTCTTCCACTTGAGAATTATGGAGGCCACTGTGCTCTTGGGAACCTTCAGTGCAGCAGATTTGTAGCCTTTCCCACATTTGTGCCTTGCAATAATCCTGTCTCTGAGCTCTGCCAGCAGTTCCTTAGACCTCATGGATTTTGCTCTGATGCAGTATACATTGTCAGCTGTGAGGCCTTTTATAGAGAGGTGTGTGCCTTTCCAAATCATGTCCAATCAATTTAATGTATCACAGATGGACTCCAATCATGGTGTAGAAACATCTCAGCAACGATCAAGCGAAACGGCAGGCACCTGAGATAAACAAATGCTGTGGCAAAGGGTTTGAATACTTATGTCAATGTGATATTTCAGTTTTTCCTTTTCCTTACATTTGCAAACATTTCTAAAATTCTGTTTTCACTTCGTCATTATGGAGTACTGAGTGTAGATTAATGGGGAAAAATAATGAATTTAAAGCACTGTAGTATCAGGCTGCAACATAACATTGAAAAAAGTGAAGGGGGTCTGAATACTTTGTATTACACTGAATGTATTACACCCTTGTATTTGGCTGCCTGACTGGGGTTCATCTTCAATATACATCAATACAATTCACAAACCTCTCCCTTCTCCAGCAATCAGTTATCAGGCTGTAGGACTCTTCCTCAGGTCCTGACATCTCCCTGCTCCACTTATCAGGCTGTAGGACTCTTCCTCAGGTCCTGACATCTCCCTGCTCCACTTATCAGGCTGTAGGACTCTTCCTCAGGTCCTGACACCTCCCTGCTCCAGGTCCTGACACCTCCCTGCTCCAGGTCCTGACACCTCCCTGCTCCAGGTCCTGACACCTCCCTGCTCCAGGTCCTGACACCTCCCTGCTCCAGGTCCTGACACCTCCCTGCTCCAGGTCCTGACACCTCCCTGCTCCAATTATCAGGCTGTAGGACTCTTCCTCAGGTCCTGACACCTCCCTGCTCCAGTTATCGGGCTGTAGGACCCTTCCTCAGGTCCTGACACCTCCCTGCTCCAGTTATCGGGCTGTAGGACTCTTCTCCAGGTCCTGACACCTCCCTGCTCCAGGTCCTGACACCTCCCTGCTCCAGGTCCTGACACCTCCCTGCTCCAGGTCCTGACACCTCCCTGCTCCAGGTCCTGACACCTCCCTGCTCCAGGTCCTGACACCTCCCTGCTCCAGGTCCTGACACCTCCCTGCTCCAGGTCCTGACACCTCCCTGCTCCAGGTCCTGACACCTCCCTGCTCCAGGTCCTGACACCTCCCTGCTCCAGGTCCTGACACCTCCCTGCTCCAGGTCCTGACACCTCCCTGCTCCAGGTCCTGACACCTCCCTGCTCCAGGTCCTGACACCTCCCTGCTCCAGGTCCTGACACCTCCCTGCTCCAGGTCCTGACACCTCCCTGCTCCAGGTCCTGACACCTCCCTGCTCCAGTTATCGGGTTGTAGGACTCTTCCTCAGGGCCTGACATCTCCCTGCTCCAGTTATCGGGCTGTAGGACTCTTCCTCAGGGCCTGACATCTCCCTGCTCCAGTTATCGGGCTGTAGGACCCTTCCTCAGGGCCTGACATCTCCCTTCTCTTTCAGCAATCTGTGCAGACGGCAGCTACTACAAATTCCAGTTCAACCAGAAAGGAGAATGCACGAGGGACGTGTACGCACAGTTTTTGGAAATGACAGACGACAAGCTCTGAGACGGTTTGCAGAGAGATGATGGACTCTTCTCAGAAGCCTCTACTGTCCTATCAGAGGAGGAGGCCGGAAATTTGCCCCAGACTGACAACTCGAGTACTTTAGACTTTATGTTCCAATTTCCCAGAGTTTTAGCTTTGAAATGAATCCATCGTATTACTATAGTGCTTTTGAAAATCTCTTTCCATCCGTTACATTCTTCCCTTCAGATCAGAAGACATCCGGGAAGTTTTTTTTTTTTTTTTTTTTTTCCGATCACAAATTTCTGATGAGCAAATGGAGATTTATCACGTATAATATTGTATAGACGTCCTTCGCATCCTATAGAATGAGCCGCAGCAGTATTGTTGGCGAGCCGGCCGGAGACTCCGGGAACATGTAGCCACTTTGGGATCCTTCCCTGTTTTTTTTTTTTTTTTTTTTTTTTTTTTTTTTTTTTTTTTTTTTTTTTTTTTTTTTTTTTTTTTTTTTTTTTTTTTTTTTTTTTTTTTTTTTTTTTTTTTTTTTTTTTTTTTTTTTTTTTTTTTTTTTCCTTTTTGAATGTTTTTCACCCTGTGTTTCAGCTTAACCCATGACAGTGTCCCAGTTTGTCAATGTCACACTAACACAGCACATTCTAACATTGACAAAGCAACCACTAACATAGCGCCGGCCTGCGTCCAGAGCTCCGACGGTCCAGGATTTCCACTGAAGCACTCAGCTGGGAAGACGCATTTTAGTTTTGCAGGCCATGGATGTATGACAACTTGCACCTCCGAAGTCGATGGACAGACCGATTGTAGATTGTAGTTCACCAGGTGGTCAGCTTTGCTCTTCAAGGCTTTCCATTTTTTTTTTTTTTTAAAAGCGGTTCTCCGGGGAAAGAGGTCGCTGTTCAATGATTTACAAGCCTCGGAGGCATCCTGCAAACCAGAATACACAGCCTTCTGTGAATGGCTAAGGGGAAGGGGAGACAAAAACGACAGTCGTGCTGCGGTCTTATCTTGTGTGGGCCAGAGGTTTAGTGGGAGCTGTGCTATCTGGTAAGAAAGAAATGTACTGGTTTTAATACTGAGCAGTGATCTGGATATTCATTACACCTTTAGGTAACATTTGTTTAGACAAAATCTCTGTGCCCGGAGTTCTGCTTTAAATATACCGTCACGTTGCCTCATTCTTGCCAGGGACTCTGAAGCCAACCAGTTTACTCCATTTCTTCAGGCCCCTCCCTCACCAACGCTCCTTCCTCTGTGTTGTAAACTACCAAGGAGGGTCAACTGGTGTTTTGGGCTTTCAGCGAGCAATAATATCGCCCTCCCCAATTACGTGGCAGTGCACAGGCCTAGTGATCAGCCAAGAGGTCACATGATCCTTCATACGCAAAAGCACCATATATTATGCGGTGGCTCCAACCAAATGAGGGCCCATTCACACCATTGTGATTTAGGTACGGCACAATGCAGGAGCACAGCGTGCTAAGAGCGCCCCAAAACTCCATTCGTCTATGGAGCTCCCCACATCCGTGCATTGTGTCGGAGGGCTGTGTGTTGCATTTTTAGAGAAATCCTGCATAATGCATTACATTGTAATCCAATGCAACACATGGAAAATGCCCTGAAAACACACTGTGCGTTTGATCGGTGCATTTTTCAAGTCCTAATTCCATATTTCCCATTTGCCCGCACCAAGAAAACATGTAAAACGCATTGTTCATTGTATTACCATGCATTGGCGTTTTAACAACACGTGTGTGTTTCCTAATGCAGTGGTGTGAATGGGCACTAATGGTGAGTAAAATGGGCAAGGTGACAGGGCCTCTTTAATTTCTACCAGCAAACCTGTGCTCTTACCACCAGTCAGTTGAAATGAGGATGGGGGAGGTGCTGCCGTGCTCTTGGGGGCAGATGCGGCTAATGAGCTCTGATATCCGGTCCGGGGTTCAGGGTTCATACAGCTCTCCTGCGGACGTTAAAGCCTACTCCAGCTCTGCTTACACTTGGAACAGTCCTATTGGGCCAAGCTGGCCCAAATGAACTATTTCATACTGACAATGTTCTTGCTGTATAAACTACATGGCATCAGCGCAGTATGCAGCGTAGCGGTACGGGGACATCCTGTTCCAAAAGAAAAAAAAAATCCAGCTGGGCTGAGTGATGCCCAGCCATTCACAGAAAGACTTGTGTGTGTTTTTTTTTTTTTTTTTTTTTTTTATCAAGGAATACAAGGCTTCCTCTTAATGGCTGAGGTGGAAAGGCAAACGTGACGTCACAATCTCCACCTCTCAGGGGAATCGGAAGCCTTGTATTCTTCGATTAAAAAAAAAAAAAAAAAAAAAAAAAGGCTTCCTGTGAATGGTTGAGGTGGAGAGAGAGGCAAACGTGACGACACCATCTCTACCTCTTGGGGGAATCAAAGGAAGCCTTGTATTCCTTGATTTAAAAAAAAAAAAAAGGGGGGGGGGGTTCCTGTGAATGGCTGAGGTGGAGAGAGAGGCAAATGTGGGGCGTCACCATCTCTACCTCTCGGGGGGGGAATTGAAGGAAGCCTTTTATTCCTTGATGATAAAAGAAAACAAGGCTTCCTGTGAATGGCTGAGGTGGAGAGAGAGGCAAACGTGTGACGTCACTATCTCTACCTCTTGGGGGAATCGATGGAAGCCTTGTATTCCTTGATTAAAAAAACAAGGCTTCCTCTGAATGGCTGAGGTGGAGAGGCAAATGTGATGTCACCATCTCCACCTCTCAGGGGAATCAGAGGAAACCTTGTATTCTTTGATTAAAAAAAAAACAAGGCTTCCTATGAATGGCTGAGGTGGAGAGAGAGGCAAACGTGACGTCACCATCTCTACCTTTCGGGGGGATCGATGGAAGCCTTGTATTCCTTGATTGAAAAAACAAGGCTTCCTGTGAATGGCTGAGGTGGAGAGAGAGGAAAATGTGATGTCACCATCTCTACCTCTCATTTGAATTGAAGGAAGCCTTGTATTCCTTGATTGAAAAAACAAGGCTTCCTGTGAATGGCTGAGCAGCACTCGGCCCAATGGATTCTGTTCCAGGAATGTGTCAGGAAGTCCCCGAATTGCTGTTGGAACACATCGTGGTATACGGTATGTAGCATACAGTTCACACTGCACTGACAGCAGCCGCATGTCCAGGAAGCGGTCTGCACGGGCCAGCTTGGCCTAAACTATTGGAAGAAATCGCAAAACTGGCTTTACTGAGCTCAGGGCTATAAATCACTGAACGTGCCCCTCCCCCTTTTCTCGGTGTGGAAGAAGTTCAAGTCGTTCTTCAGAGTCGATTCCGCTTCTTCCCTGTGCAGTTGGCGCTCTGCTGTGTACGAGGCGTTCGTAGAAGTCGGTGTGGGCGGAGAAGTCGGTGTGGGCGGAGAAGTCGGTGTGGGCGGAGAAGTCGGTGTGGGCGGAGACGTTTTTAAAGGCTCCCGATGACGGAGAACGTAACTTTTTAGGTAGTTTTTGGAGTGTAAGTTTCTGCATGTGGCTTAGTGCAATTAATCATGAATTCAGTTTTTGTTTTGCACACTTTGTTTGTAAGATATGTAATGCTTTTTAATAAAATATGACCAGACCATGAGACTGTTTCCTAATGTACAGCTTTTGTTACCCTCCCTAGCGGTCTGATGATGTCAGTATTTCTGTGCTCAAAGCGGTACCTTTTTTTTGCATGGAAATATGTAGTTTTTTTTTTTTTTATTGTAGGCTGTAATCTTTAGGAATAACTCACTGAAATCTGTCCGAACAAGAGTCTCGTAAACATCCCGGGGATGATAAAATTTGAAATACAAAATTATAATATAATAAATTAATAATCTAATAATAAATTTAATTCAATAATATAATCAAACCAAAAACACTGAAATGTGAAATATAGCGCCAAGTTCGCACATCGCTGAGCAAAGTCGCAGAATCGTTTTCAGTGTCTGATGATGAATTTCCCCCACGAATCATTATCACTCAATTCTGCAAGTGGTTCTGATTTACTATCGCTGTTCTCTAGCCGGTCTAAAACCGCTTTTGACCTAAAGGGACGCTTTTTGGACGCCATGGATGTTTCTCAGTTTCCAGGCAGAAAGAACAGTAAAAATGCAGGCAGGGCGCCGGACAAAGCACTCGGGACAAAATGTATGTGAAATGGTTTGATACAGGAATGTTATACTATGTGATTTTAGTGAATGTCACATTTTTACATTTTTGAAATTCCCGCCAGTTCCGTCCCCCGTACGTCCCGGCGCTCGCAGGGAACGGAACCCTGAAGACAGATGCCGGCATCGGCTGGAGGACGTTGCTGGGAACGCTGCAGGGGGGACATCGCGGGAGCGCAGGACAAGGTAAGAGCTGGAGGGATCCCGGAGCAACGCTGCAGTGTATTCCTGAGTGTAGCTCGGGGTTTCCGCTTCTGTTGCTGAAAGTTAACCCCGGGAATACCGCCAGGGGGGTTAAAGAGCACTCCCAACCAGCACTCATTTGGCACCATGATGCACTCGTATTTAGGGTGTCACGTGGTGCAAATGACACCCCCTCAAAATGCACCCCTCTGTGACAGCATGCTGGGGTTCCTCTCCCCTGCAACCGCTGTCACTTTAGAAATGGGTGGGGTTTCTCCTACACAGCTGTATCATTCATTTGCAGAGATCTGTGAATAAATAAATTACAAGTCCCATCTGCCACGGTGGAAGACGGACTTGTAGTTCTCAATGGAACAGTACAGTGTGGTAATCCCCATTACTCCACTGACACTTCCTCTGGATCAACTGGGTGTAGGATTCTAACTTTTTTTTTTTTTATTTTGTCTTTTTTCAGCCAGACTAACTATGTAACTTCCTCCAGTTCTGCAGCTGAAAGCCGTTCCTCTGTACAACTAGAAAGCTGGAGGAAGGATTTTGCGGGAGCCTGGTGCTGCGATTCACTAATCACGGGCAAGACTTTACAGGCTCCTGTGAAAATTAAAAATAAAAAATGCAAATTTTTATTTTCATGGAAAACATTGAAAAAAAACCCCCAAAA